TATTTTGTCGTCAACATATGAGTACACACCAAAAGTAAAGCCTAAACTTCATACATGTTGCATAAGGCTCATTCAGTCATCTGCATTTGTTTAGCCTCTGTTAGCTGCCATCTTTCTTTTATAAAATACTGCCAGTCACTGCCCATGTATCATCACCTTCGCACATAGCCTCACACCATTATTGGCCCATCTCCATTCTTTGTTGTGTGTGGTTGTCTGGATGAGGCAGAGGGGGGAAGACCGGCAGTCAACCACGGCATATGTTTTTAATCCCCCCTCACAGACCTCCCTTCTCCTCTTTTGGCCTCTTCTTGCCCTTCCACCCCCCCACCCCCCTATTTCTCTCCATCTTTCTTCCACTTTAGGTCCACTAAATTGCCCATTAGACTCTCTGTTTGTCTATCTCAAGCGTTGCATGTCTGTGGCAGCCTCCAGTGTCCGCCCAATACACCATAGGATACCACTTGAAAAATGTTGTGCTCTATATATTTTATATGTTATGTATTTATTGTTATAACAGAACTACATAGGTACGACATTCACAGCATTACTTTTTTGTTAAAAAGCACATTTTGTCTGAATGGAAGCTACATTTTGGGCTAAATCCCTGCAAGTACGTATTCATAAGAGTCTAATGTAAAATTTGGTTATGACCTCTCTGATTGCCACATATTTGTCACATATATATGTATATATTTCATGTTTTTTAAGAGACATGAAAAACCCTATGAGTCATTTGTTCCAAGAAAAACTGACTGATCAGCTTCACACATTTCCAGTCCAAGACAGCAACCAAAAGAAGTAAAACGATGTGGTCAAATGCTTAGCTAAACATTGTTGTTGCATTCTGTAATAACGAGAGGAAACCTTAGAAACCAAAGTCCTCTGAGGAAAAGTTATTAATATCCTGTCAGCAGTAAATTAGCTTTACATGTCCTTGTTCCTTTCTTTTGTTTGGTCTAGCAATAGACCTTCTACCACCACTGCTCACTGAGTGTACGTGTCCCGTGAAGCGGCACAACTAACACATCATGGACATGAAACTGCTGACATGGATGAGGAAAAATAGACGGCTATAAATGGCTACTCGTATTTGACTTATGCTCAGCTTCAGATGATCTATAGTTGGTAGGTGTATGTATTTATCTGTGCAATGTATCCATAGGTGAGAGAAATAAACCAAAGGAAGGATTCAAGTCATGGTCAGAAACTGTGGTTGACCGGAGACAAGGAGATAGGATGGAAATGTGGAGACAGAATCAAATACCAAGAGACAGAAACCATGACTCACTTTGCCAATGAAAATAATTTCTGAGAAAGATTAACAAAGAGAAGGAACAAAAAGGCAAAAGGTGAGAATCTATGTATATGCCCACAGCATGAGTCAGTGCCACACACGGTGAAAGGATCCTCTCCACAGTCATGGTGAGGTCCCTGCAATGACAGGGGTGTACTGACTGTACTACAAAGTAATTAGAGACGGTCTCCACTAAGTCACAGTTTAGTCTATAGTGGCCTTAAAAGAGACAGAGTGGGAGTGAGTGCAAAGGGAGTAAGGTGAGAAGGAGGAGGACGGAATAGAGCCCTCATCCAGGAGTCACCTTCTATGATAGAGGCAGAATTTACTTTTATCAAAGCTCCACTGATCAATAGATTTAAGATTAGGACCAGACTGACTTTTCATGTTCTGAACAGGTTCCCCGACTGATTTGACTTTGTGGTTGGTTTCTTCACATCCTGAAATATGACCCCTGACAATGTCCTCTAAAATACTCCCCCTTCCAGTGGTGGGAGGGATAAATGGCTCACAAGCATTTCCAGATTAAAGCTACTACTTAAGTGATTAAAAAACAAACAATTACTTTTGTAATACGACTGTCATAGACCTATTTTCATACTTAATCTATTCAACACCAGAGGGTTAAATGTTTGACCCAGGAGCACATTTTGGAGAGGGGGATAGTCTCTCCAACAAGTTTTATTACAATGCAGCAGGCAGCGGTTTTCAACAAAGAAACCAGAAAAACTGGCTTTGTGCTACTTTATGCTTCAAACCCGAAAACAGCAAGCAAAAAAGCACCGTGACAACCATTTTTCCTTGGAGTTGACAGAAATTAAAACAAAACTTACATTATTCAGACTTAAATTTGGTGATTGTCCAAACATCTATAAATGTATACTAATAAGGCTAAATAACTTTTTCTACAATTCTTGCGATGTTAACTTAAAATTAAAACAGAAACTACTTCATAAACTGGCCTCAATGTTTTGGAACTTTAACCAAACTCTACCGCCCCCATGTGGTCAGAAAACGAATTGCACACACATCCAAAGTTGTTCATAAAATTAATTTTTTTTTAAATGTAGACTTTTATCAAATGGGTTTATTAAACATTATTCTTGTTATTGCAAATAATTACAACAGAACCTTTGTAGATATAAATTTCACAGAACTGCCATCATGAAATCAAACAACCCCAAAATAATGACTGAGCTGGAGTACAAAATGCTTCTCTTTTCTTCTTTTAGGGACGACTCTCTAAAGACATTTGTAGCAATATTATTTAAATAACCTTTGAGAAAACAGAAATCTGGAAGCACAAAACTTGTGTGCTCTGTGTTAAATAAGACAAAAAAGTCATTCAGCTGTAAAAACTGGAGGGGACGGCTGTGAGTAATAAAGTGATTTTTTGGGATTGCCTGTCGTGAGTAATTTATGGGCATAATGCTTATTGCAGATCAGTGCAGCTTTGGAAGGTTTATGTCTCTGGAAGTGGATCACACCACATCACGCTCTGAATGTCCAACGTGGTTAAAACTGCAATGCATTTAAAGCAGGGAGACAGAGGAAGTTAACTCTGCATGAGTGCCATTCCTCAGTAATGGCTGAGGATCCTGCTGAAGTCTGCATATCCCGCTTTCTAACTTGTTAACTTGAAAGTACCTTAATGACTTCTCCCCCCTGTAGCAGCCGAGTCACACTGTGAAGTCTTCCTTGTTTCCATTTAGCCTAAAGTCAGGTGAGGAGGTGAAAGGGAAACTCCGCAGGATGGAGGAGCCTTGTTTCAGTAGCGATGTGTTGCTCTCATGTCATAAAGCCTTTCTAAGGAGAACGAAGCCTCTGAGTGTCTTTAGCCGCTGGGGAACATGCTACAGGCATTTTACATGTAACTTCACAGGGTGATGGATTCTCCTGCCTTGTCAGCTAAGAAGTGTATAATCTTTTCTGCTCTTCTCAATTTCATACTCTGCATGAAAAAGTAATAGGAAAATGGATGATAAAAATATAAAAGGGAGGCAGACCAAGCAGGAGATTGTAGGAGTGCAAATTTTACTGGGCACTTTAATGTTTTTCTACTCTCATGAACTGTCATTATAAAAAAGCTGCTTAAAAAAACTCACAAGTGGATTTTTAAGTTTTAAAAGCTGCGATTTAAATAAAGCCTAAGTAGGATATCACAAAAATTCAGGAGTGGTGTATGAGTGTTTTAATAACTGAAGGCCATCCATCTATTTTATCCCAGCTACCATCGGGCAAAAGGTATGATGGTATACCATAGGGCCATACTGGGATGAACAGTGGAAGGAAGCAAGTGAACCAATTCGCTAGGGCAAAATCAAATTGGTTGGAGAGTTTCTTTCAGTCCTCAATTTAACACTAGAGATGTATTTTATTTTTTTGTTTTCTTTTATACATCTATAGTAGACTGTAACAGATCGAAGGTGTTGAAATCTGCTGTCTGTTATTTTAAAAGATCTTTGTAGACTGAGCAGGCGTTGCTTAATTTTCTAAATGTCTTTAAATATACGACTATATTTCAATATGGACATTCGGAAAAAAAAGCATCTCTTTTTCTTTTTCAATTTGAAGGTTTAAACTTCACAATGTTTGCCTGGAAAGCTTCAACCACAGTCATTCTGTAGTTATTTCTACATTTTATTTTCTGCTTCTCATAGAAGTGTTGTGTTGTGCACTAAACACCAAGGCAAATTCCTTGTAAGTCTAAAAACCTACTTGGCAATAAACCTGATTCTGATTCTGATTCTGATTCTGATTCTCACTTGTACCAGTCACATATTTCCATGGGTCTATTCCCAAACTCAAAACTTCCTTCCTGTTGGTCCAGACAGGTTTCTCATGATGTCTAATTTTTGCTTCAATTTTACAGTCCAATGACACACATCAAAGCATTCTTTCCTCCTTATCAACCTCATTTTTGTCAATAATTCTGTTTTAATTTCTTCAAAGGAGGTGTCACTGGTTTCAGACTTCACCATCAACGGACTCCCCTCTTTGAATCCTGAGTGGCGGCCGTTCTGAATGGACTTTGCCTGTTTTCTTTGAATTTGTGTGGATTCTTCCCAGCTTCCCGTAAACTTCCAAAAAGAATGCCTTTTGCAGCGGGTTTCTTTAAAGTGAGTGAGTGTGAGCGTGCATGGCTGTCCGTCTCTGTGCGGCCCTGTGATGGACTGGCCCTCTGTCCAGGGGGTGTCCCAGTGACAGCTGGGACAGGCTCCACTCCCCAGCCAGACCCCCACCCCCAAAACCCTGAGTTGGATTAGGTTGGTATAGAAAAAATGGATGCTCAGGGTGCTCAGACAAAAACAAAAAAAGAGACGCAACATGTACTGTAGGTCCAAAATCATTTTTTACATGCAAGGATAACTAAGGTTAACTAATGTTAAGTAAACAAAATAAAGCACCTCATAAATAAGTCTCTGAACAACACACTTGGGTGAATAACTTTTACATAATCCGGCAGATATAAACGATTAACTGGGAAAATTGGAGAGGCTAAATGAACGAACCACTTAGGACTGGGTCTGGTTTTGCTGTGTCGCCACCTAGTGTCTTTTTGCGTCACTCTTTTTCCCCCCCATCTTGAATCTGATTGGTGGAAAATGCCATCGTCCCTGCACGGACCGATGACTCGGCCAGAGCCTCATTTTGTTTTTGCATGCACGCTCCTCCCACTCTGTGACACAACCACTCCTCCTCTAGACGGACACACACTCAAACACACACACAACCCGAGACCCCCCCCCCAACCCCGGGGATGCAGACAGCTTAGGCCGCTCTGCGTTCGGACTCTGGACTTCTCGTTTCTGCTGAAAACCTGTTTATTAGATCATGGAGCATCCGCGGTGTTGACGGAGAAGCAATGGTGCGTGGGAAAGGTACCGCAGTCCACCGGGCTCTCAATGTGCCTCCAATCCCCTTCTCTGTGTGTGTGTGTGTGTGTGTGTGTATGTGTGCTACGCCGCTCGTCATTGTTGTCCGTTTTCCCTCCTCTTTGCATCCCAAGTCTGCGTCTGCGGCCGTGTGAGCTATGATCGGCGGTAGAGGAGCCGGGGAACGCGGACGGAGAGATCTGGCTCAGCATAATCCATCCGGACTTCAGAGGAGAGGATGAGGACCGCGATGGCTCCGATGAAAACAGCCCTGATCGTGTTGGCGCACTGGGGTGAGTTCACCCGCGTCCTGGCTCTACCTGTTCCTTCTGAGCCCGGCCAGCTGACAGCCTGCTGTGAAACGGCGTTTTTACGCGCCGTTTCACAGCAGGTAGCCTTTATCTTTAAACCACCCAGTCTTTACTGCAGAACGAATGATCAATGGACTCATTTTTTGGGACAGAATTTTTTGATTTCCCGCTAAATCCCAGAGCAGCAGGATCCACCGCCCAAGGCTGGATGTAGGGCTACAGGTGTGTTTGTCCACTGGCATCCAGGAAGTCCTTTGCAAGAATTTGTTTTAGCCACACACTGTTTGATTAGTTAGTCTTTTTTTTGCTGTTCTCAGTTTCACCTTTTGATTTGTTGATGCCCCCAGACTACATTATGTTCATTCTGCATCCAAAAAGTTTCCCCATTTGCTTACCAAAGTTATATTTCTTTAAGTTAAAAGAAAAAAAGTAGCACCAATTGGTGACAGGATATGTTATTAAAATATTCCTTTTGCTGAAAGCACATGTTTAAAAAAAACAAAACTCTTTTGAGCCATAAACAGGAGTCGAGAGTAAAGTAAAAGGTTATTTCCCTCAAGTTTTCCTCAACCAAAATATAACAAGGCCGTAGTTTGATCTCCCAGTTCAGAAAGAGAGAATTCGTATGGTGAGCATGTTTAATCTCGCTGCACCGATGATGACGATATCAATCATATCTAATAGCTACACAAGCACGCGTCCTCTGGGACAGAAATGGATGAGTCGGAGGCCCAACACGCATCTCCGTGTGTGTGCTGTGCATTAAAAAATGACGGCTCCCTGCTGCACACACTCTAATCCAGGCAGCGCTGAGCATTGTGATGAGGCGCGCTGTCCCCCGGCCCTATCGGACCAAGCCCAACGTTAATTAGGACTTGATCCGCTTAAGCCTCCCACTGGTCTGCCATGTCATTATCTGTGTGTGTGTTGTCGACAGGCCGGGGCTCTGCCTGTGAGAAAGCTCCAGTTGTTTCAGGTCGCCTCCACACAGGCACCTCCTGAAGGCGCTGACACAGGCCTGTCTTGAATTTCTGGTTATTCTGGCAGTGTTAGGACAGTTGGGATCACTCAGTGAAGGACAGGTTTCTCATTTTTAGTTAATTATGACGACAGTCATATTTATTTAGTTGTGTAAATATATAGAGTGAGTTCAAGCATCACTTCTTGAGTTGTTTCAGTTTTATGATAAAGATGTTATGTAATAAAATAATGAAGTGTTTAATGAAACTCTGAACTTTGGTGATTGGGTTTAGAATAGACCATGCTTCTACTATTTGGAATGACAGTTAAGCAGTTAAGTGATATGGGTTAGTTTAATGTCATTTCCCCTTTTCGGCACAACAAAAGCCTCTCTCTCAGTTGTAGGGGGATTTTTAAAGTTAAAAGATATCAGATCAGATCAGATTTTTTTTTTTTTTTTACATATTGGAAGTGTTTGGTATTCTTTAACGCCATATTGCTACCTTATCTTTTCAAATAGTAACAAATTGTGTGGTCACTGTAAGCTAAGTTTTCATACCGAGAAGAGTCTGCTGGACATTGTAGGCCACAAAAGTGAACATCTGCCATTAGCTTTAAAACTATTTTTTATTATTTCTTCTTAGACAAAAAAAAGTAATCTAATTGCAGCTTCTGTTTCACGATAATATTGGAACTGCAGCACCGCCTGCCTCCGGATTTTAGCGCGCTCTCCTTTTTAACGTTACCCTTGGGCTGACAAGTATGTTTTGAGAATGAGCTGGCTCACTGTAGATGATTGTTTTTCATGTTCTAAACATCTCTTTGTATTCTGGGGGAATCTGGCCCAGAGCCCCAGCCGCAGTGTATATCTTCTCCTCAGCTATTTGCTCTATCGATTGGCTGTTAGTCTGTCATCAGCTCGGTATATTGATCAGTGGGCCCATGTACCAAACATGCCGCGAGGCGCAGCCGTGACCCACAGAAGCTCTTTTTCACATTCCTGCTGTGTTTGTGTATTTCTCCTGCAGTGCTTCAGAACGCCGTGTGCCGCGAAGTGACTCTTCCCAATGGCCCCCTCTTCCGCGTGGCTGGCTTCCCTCTCTCCCTGCCGTGCAGAGTGTCCGAATACGAAGGTCCTCGCACTCAGGAGTTTGAGTGGTTCCTGTATAGGGACGACTCCGGAGGGAGGCAGATAGGAGTGGTGTCCACCAGGGACAAAGGCTTCCCCTACGTTCCGTTTCAGGCCAGAGTGAGGAATGGGGAGGTGAGAGTGGAGAGAGACTCGGGGGACAGGGTCCGGCTGATGATCCAGAGGCTACGGACCGAAGACCAAGGGAAATATGAGTGCTACACTCCCAGCACAGACAGCACCTACCAGGGAAACTACAGTAACTCAGTTACTGTCAAAGGTTAGAATATCAACTAAAATTGTCCTTAATGTGGGTATGGCAAGATTTTTATTTCACTCAACATTCTTGCATTTACTGAAGATCCTATAAGATCAGTTTTAATGGCCTGTGCAGAGGTAGTGAGGTAGTATTAAAGAAAAGGCATCAGACATGTCATTTAAAATGTCTTCATATGGGTAAATGCTGCTATTTTTCATGTTATTTTTTAGATTTTTACTTGGGGCGCTATCAAACGTTTTTATTATATTATTTATTATTTCATCAACAGTAAAACTGTGGGAAGAAATAGAAAAGTTACTCTTATTTCCAAGATAATGCGGTTTTGGTCTTTTAGTTCCTTGACTGTAGCTTGTTTAAACAATAGATATTTTATACCAAATATTATAGAGTTATTGGCATTGGTCATTGACTGGCGACCTGTTAGGGATGCACCCCGCCTCTCACCCGGTGACAGCTGGGATAGGCTCTGGCCCCCCCATGACCCCAACAGGAGTAAGCTATAGACAATGGATAGACGATGGATGGAGGAGATTAGTGATACTTGTGTCTCATTTCGAAGACACAAAAGATGCCCAGAAAATTTCTCAGATTAGGACACTGAGATAATGAGAAAAAAAACGAAATACCAACAAGGTAATTGGTCTAATTACAGTAATAACATTTTCTTATAAAGCACAACATCGCATAAGCTTTATCATATTCTCTTGATTGAACAAATCATTTGATTCCACAAAAAGGATTTCACATGGCCAGCATACTTAAGTATCATCAGCATTCATCTTATTGGCTGTTTTTCTTCCTCTGCTTTAAGCTAACCACGAGCTGTTGGCTACATATGCTGCCAGTTAAAAACATGTTCCCCTCAAGCACAGCTAAAAATAAATATGAATACAAAAATATCTATGTAAGAAGTTAATTAACTATGTGCATTAAAACAAGGCTATACATGAAAATGGGGATCAGGTTATTAACTCTATAAATAGTAGAGAGGGAAGAACAGAATATCCTGCACAGGCAGATGATGCCCAGAACACATAAAATGAAATTAAGGAAGCTCCTTTAACTTTAAAGACACTTTTTGTTAACACGACAATGTCTGATCATGTGGGGCCAGAAGATTTGGATGGACTTTTAAAGGCATCAATGTATACTCTTTGAATTATTACAGTTTATTAGTTCTTGATGGGGTTTAATCGATGCAAACAGAGGGTGTTCTAAGAAAGAAGTAAAAAGCGTAACTTCTTTTTATTACATAAAAAATCTCACAGGAGTTTTGTTCTTTTTTTGGGGCGACTAGAATTCAATGTTTGGTTAGGTTGATAAAATTGCTTACTTACTTCTTTTATTTAATGGATCACAATGCGTTAGTATGAGCACTTGTTAGTATTATTTGAATACAAACGTGTCAGTGGTGTTCTGTTTCTGTCACCCACCCTCTTTTGGATGGCTGAGTTTATGCCTCTGGATGCTGGGTGTTACAGTTGTTGCTGAGCAGTAACCTTTTAATCTTCTCTTTTTTTGGCAATGCCAGCACACAAATCCTGGTAAAAGCTTTGGAGCCACTCTCAGCAGACTTATTTCATGCTGTGCCGTAGAGCTCTAAACACAGAAACACATAAACAGCACTAAGGCAATTGAAATTGAATTTGTCACTTTTCTTTCTGGCTCCAGGAGCGGCGAGATGTTTTATAACTGTGCGTTTCTCTCTGTACACCCACAGTGATCCCAGACACGCTCCGGGTCAGTTTTACTCGCTCCCTCACCGGTCAGCCAGTGCCAGAGGGAGCTGATTTAACCCTGACGTGCTCAGCCAGCATCCAGTCGGAGCAGCTCACGCATCTGTCCATCACGTTTGGGAGGCGTGCTGGGTCAGAGGTTCCGGAGAGCGGAGCCGGAGGGGAAGTCAGCAATGTGAGAGAGATCATCGCCATTGATAAGCTTCTGGGGGTGGTGCCCGGGCAGTTCTACAAAAAGCGCTACGATAACGGGGAGATCACGCTGGAGAAAAGAAACGGAGAGGGGGGCCAGGGAGTGTACGTGATGAAAATGAAAGCAGTCCAGCCCGACGACACCGGATCGTACTTCTGCGAGACATCGCAGTGGATTCTGGACCCCGATCGATCGTGGCAGAAAATTGCTTCCAGGACGATGGACATTGGCAACTTGACAGTTCAGCAATTAGGTGAGAAAGCTTGGTAGTATTTCTATTGATATTTTGTTGGAACAACAGTATCGTGTGACAGTATCAGGTCACAGCTAGAGCACTGCACGACAGCACATCATTAGAGGTACAAATATTGGACATTAAAGAAAAAGATAGTTGGATGCGATTTTTACATGACTTTTTTCAGTGTTAGAAGACAAACATCAAACCTCAAACAGCAATTAAAGGTTAAAGTGGACGGAGAATACCTGGGTAGAGAAATCCATGAAGACGTGATTAAAAAGAACAGGCCGGGCATCTGTCATTGGCTGTTACCTGAGACTTATAAGTAGGGCTGTGACAGAGTGATGTAATAAATTATTAAATTAAATAAATACATATGTTTTATTTCAAACCTTTCCCTATTTTTGCCAAGACATTGGTGTGAGTCCACTTGGATGTTCACACATCACTCCTTCCAAGGTTTTAGGCTCTGTGTGTTAGTAACAGGGCTTATATGAATTTATTTTTATTTTTTGCTGCCTGACTGATCTATTTGGAGAGTACTTTGATGGATGGTTGTTAATAAAAAGATAAACATTTCCACTCAGTAGCAGCCCTGCCTGCTGATATGTTTGCTGCTTTGAGTAACCGCCTGTTAATGCTGCTTGCTGGCTGCTTTATTTGGTTTTTGGCCATAAGAGGTGGAACTACCTTGCTCTGCTTTTATTTTTGATCGGATTAGAGATCGCCTCATCACATGTCATGTTTCCTTTGGTAACGTAGAGGACGGCATGGAACTCAGTAGTAATTACTTCCTATGTGGAAAAAGAGTTATAGTTTTCTTTCCTCTGAAAGTTGGCAGATTGCTTTTAAAAAAATGCACTTGACTTGATTATTTCTGCAGAACTATCTGCATTGAAGCCACCTGCCAGACTAAACGTGCAGTCCTGTTCCTGCTGATCCAGCTTGATTTGATTAGTCAGAAGCCGGCTGGCTGTATGGCAGTGTATCTGCCTGTAGCCTTGATGTAATGTGGATCTGGGGATTATACCATCTTGTCGCCTATTGTGGTTTCTTTTAGCCACCAACAAGGGAAGCAAAATTTCTGTCAGGCTGATTCGACTGTTCCTTTTTTAGGTCATACCTCCCTGACTAAACGTCTTTGATCAAGATTCCCTTTATTTCACAGGAATTAGAATAGAGCTAATGGGCACAAAGACATGATCTGTTTGCTCTGGATATGTTTTAAAAAAAAAAAATGCTCCCATTAAGAGGAGGGAGAGTGACAGGGCTACTGTGCAGCAGAGCTAAAGGATTTCAGGTCATATTCCCCCTTTTTTTTCTTTTTTTTTGCAGAAAAGTTGCAGCTGAACTTAAAGGATGAGAACTCATCAGTGTGCAAATTGTTTTTCTTTTTCTGAGAAGCACTATGTAGTTGTGCCTTCTTTTGTCATAATACAATGGTCTCTATTTGTGTGCATAAATAGTGTGCCTATTATCAAGAGACATCTTTGTTGTGGTTAAACGAGGGTGTGCTCACACAATGGATTGGTGTTTGCATCTTATTATAATACCAGGCCACTAGTAAGGAGGTTTATGTACACGTAAGCTCAGAGAAAAATGGTGGATTTATGCACGCTGAATGAACTTGTTGGGTCATGACCCCTGAATTTCTCTGTTGTTGAGTGAAGTGGATTACACAAGGTGTTGATGTGATCAAGCAGGGGGATGTTTCTGCCCGTCATTGATTGCAGACTTTTTTTTGTAAAAAAAAAAAAGAAGAACTGACAGTCCAGCATGAAAATGTATCTTTGAACAGTAGAAAAGTGGGTTTTTTAGCTTTGAAGTGCTTTTGATCACCACAACCCTCCTGAAATTTATACAAAGGATAGTTTTATATTGCACATTGTTACAATAAATTGCTCCATTTTTAAATATATGGCTAGTTTGTCTTGTTTAAAGATTGGATTGTTACTTTCTGCTTGGGGTAGTAATCCATTTTATACTGCCCACTAGATGTATGATGTACCAGGGAAGCCGCTTTAGCTTCCACAGAGCTACAACTGGCAGTATATCACTTCCTGTGAATATTTCTACTGTCACAGTTTTTTATTATCCACTCAAAGCCTTTTCCTAGGTAGGACTCTGGAACCTAAAGTTGATTGTCTTCTTCGATTTTAGCCGAGACCATGAGCGTTACATCTGCACCCAGGGGCGAGGTGACCCTCCAGGTGGGTTCCCCTCTCATCCTGACCTGTGAGGTGCTGGGCCTGCCGTCTGACGTCAACTCAGGCCTCCTGGTTCAGTGGATGAAAAGGGGATCCGTCAGCAGTGATGAGGCTGGAACCGGAGGAGTTGAGGTATTATCATTCGCATTCTGCTCTCAGTCATTTGAGGCCCTGTTTGTTTGTTGACGCAGCTGTAACAAGGATTAATCTATTGAGAGACTTATTGAGTAAACTATTTGATTGGGGTGATGGGTAGGTGTTATCAGTGTCCTCTTGCTCACATTTTTCACTTAACTCTCTGACTTAGTGACACGCTTAACTCTCTGCGTAGGTTGAGGTGGCCCGGATGAGCCCAGACGGTTTAGTGAGCTGGGGGGACGACCTCGGCAGAGCCAGTGGCGGCTCTTTGGAGAAAGTGGCCGAGGGGAAATACTCCCTGAAGCTCTTCTCAGCCCGGCCTTCCGACTCGGGGGTGTATCGGTGCGCGGTGAGTGTGTACGCTGGAAGGACGAGCCCCGGACTCTCCACGCCTGCCACGCTCACCCAGAGGTCAGAGGGGGTCACCGTCAACCTCAGGACCAAAGGTGAGTCCCAGCTGTATCAATTGTGCCCTAATTTTAAGGCAGGACGCGTTATTTTAAGCAGGATCTCAGCATCTATTTAGAATTTAATCACAGAGTGCTTCTCGTTAAGAAAGCGAGGTGATCCCTCAGCAGCTTCCTCTGCACTATAAACAGGCTTTCACAGTGAAATATATATAAATTGAGGCAAGAAGTGAGGCCTCCTGAGGAGTTGAGAGAGAGGAAACCTTTGTTGGAGGAGTTTTAGTAAGTGATATGACCTTGTAACTCAGCACCATTTAACTGCATTGGACATTTTGTGTCGGCTTCAGACTGGGCCGTCTCAAAAAGCCGCAGATAGAAGTTCTTGCGTGTCTTCCTCATAATGATGTTTCATTTCCCTTTTGTGAGGTAGTGAAACTCATAATGATGTGCAGACGTTAATAGGTGGGCGTGAGAATTTCAACTCTACCGATTTATTTCTCCTCATTTCTTGTATTGCAGCCAGTTTTTAAAATTCAGTCAGAGATCATTGGGAAGATGATTATTGTCCATATGAGGGTTCAGTCATGATGTAATATCCACAGTTGTGTCAGCTTATTAGTATTCTATTTAAAGCTCCTCTGATATGAACTGCTGCTCTTTTAGGCCTTTCTAAATGGGGAAATTCTCCGCTCTGAGGGTCATGATTGCTGAGACATTTTAATCAAATTGAAAAGTACAACACAGTTTTGTTTTTGTCCGTGTGCTCACTCTGCCCTTTATAAACACTTCTGCTGATGTTCCTCTGGCTTCCGCAGACGTTTTGGTTTCAGCTGTGGCCCAGCTCCCTCGCGGCCCTCTGCTCAAACGGGGCAACACCATCACCTTGATCTGCAACGCAACCGTGACGACCACAGGCCCCGCCCAGGCTCAGGTACACTGGCTGAGGTGGCCGCTCCCTGAACCCGTCCTCAAGAGGGAGCCGGATCCTGCCCCAGCGGACCCCCCGGTCATCCAGATGCCCACACGGGTAGCCACTCTCATGTACAACGGCGTCTCAAACATCTACGTCAACGGCAGCGAGATAAGCGTCGACCGGCTCTCCGCCATCAGCTATAGACTGAGGGTCCACGTGGCAGCATCAGAGGACCAGGGCATGTACGCGTGCCATGCTGAGGCGTGGGCGCAGGACCCGCATGGGGGCTGGTACAACATGGGAGCCAAAGCAGAGTCCAATGCAGTGACCGTTTACCTGTATGCCAGAGGTAAGTGCCTCCCAATGATTGTGTTCCTTTTTGATAGTTATACACCCATAAGTCTATTCATCTGGCAGTATTTGGGTGTTGAAAATGCAAAAGATGATCCCAAGATTCCAACTTTTTGAGGTTCGAAGCACGGGTTAGGCTGCTGGCCTTAATGCAACTGCAGAGCTTAAGTATTTACTCGCTCTGTGAAGAACCTTGGGATAAATCTATTTAAATTGCCATATACAAGTAGAGCAAATATAAAAGTTTAAACTAGGCGTGTTAGGAACGATAGGTGTTCGGAAAGAGGTGAGATTGGAAAACAAAAGATTCTTGAGCTGAAATCATTGGCACTAAGACCTTTTAAGTGATTTTCTCAATTTTAAAAGTGTCCTCCAGAAATCTTTCTGTTTGTCGGTGTGGTCAGCTGCTGCATTTACTGATGAGTATTTTTAATAGGAGGCTTCTCCCTTGGTCCATCGTGATGTAACACATCCTGTCTGTGGTGTCTGGTTTGTCCTGACCATCAGGGCCAACATCCTTTCATCTGATGACAGTATTGATACTTTTCAAGAGCATACTCTACTTAAAAAGGATGTGGTCATCAGCTGTGAAACATTCAGCCCAGAGTAGAGCTCATTTACGTCCAGTGCTGGACCACGAGGCCTCTATTTGAAAACTATCCTTTTGTCTTATGAAATATTGAATTGGCTGTGTTTATTATGCAAGCCATGTCATTAAAAGCATTGGCCCGCAATTGCCAGACAATAAAATCACAGAATAACATAACTGTGCCCATGTCAAGTTCTTCTATATAGCCTCGATGTTCTGAGGGGAATATGGCTTAGGTTCTCAGCTTTGACTTCCTCAGTTTTAGTCTGATTTTATGAGCAAGAGGTGTTTTAGTTCTAGTTTTTACAGGCAAATTACAACCTCTAATCTGTCCAGAGACACTTATACGGAATAAATACTTTTCGGTTGCTCGGCTGTCTTCATGGTAATATTTAGCTCGTATGATGACGCTTTTCTCGTTTTTTTCCCTCCCCAGCTGCTGACCTTCTCCTTATCCCTCTGGTGGTTGGCGTCTCATCGGCTTTGTTTGTCGGCATCTTCATCATTGCCACGGTAACCTGTTGCTTCATGAAACGCCTGAGGAGGCAACGTGCTCAAAAATAAGCGCTCCTGCTTATTTTTGTCACCGTCTGTTTAGCAACTGATGTATTTTTTCCCCCTCATGAAGTGGCACAAACAGATGAAGCAGAAAGTATGGCAGAAGACATGACAACAGAAACAAACTGACATTTAGACAAGATTCTGCCTGAAATGGCATCTTGCATGTTGAATTTCTCTTCTCTGACCAACAGGTTTCGCATCAATGCCAAAATATCTGTTTTGTATTTTTGTGCATTTTCGTTATCAAACCCTGTCTGGACACAGCATTGTTTTGTGATTTGTCACGCATAGACATAGAGCTGTAGACCTCCGATGACACCACCAAAACGTTCCTCTCCATTTTGCAAGTTTACAAAGGCATTTTTGATACCTGTTTTTGTGTTCTCTTGAAGTACATTTTTAATAATTCCATTATCATTACATTCATTCTTTAAAATAGACTGACATGAACAAGGTCAAACAGAGCAGAGTTCTGAAGGTTTGTTCCAGTGATAGTCACTCCAGACAGGTTCTTTCTATACAACTACGTGCAATTCAATTATTGCGATTCAGTTATTACAAGTGGATTCTACTTAGCCGATGTTTTATACGATGCTGTATGTGGAGGTAATCTTCCATTCAGTGACCAAACAAGTTTTCCTGAACAAAGACTGATTTGTGTTTTCTGCAACTGCTGAGAGTGCTCCAGTTTCTCTTTCCTCAGAAAGCATTTTTCTTAATCTAATTCAAAACCCAACAATGTGTTAAAGTGTGTGCATCGTGGGGGCACACACTTTGTCAGCCTCTGACAGTCACATGAATGCTGGTAGGAGCAGTTCAGCCTCCAGAAACTTAATGTGAGCAGGAAGAGTGTGGAGCCTGCGGCCCAACAAGGAAACAGAGTCTGTGTGTGAGTTGATAAGAAAGCGACTGGGGACTTTTCGGATGCAGACTAACTGAGTATGTATTGTAGTTTTAGCCAGTCTGCACCCATGAGGCTTCAGGCTGTGGAGATGCTTTTCATACAGACTTAGGTTTGTCTTGTTCTGACCCAGAAAATGCAAGAGGCGCCAATTGCACTGAGCTGAAACCTGTGAATACTCCAGAGTATTTCAATGTTTTTTTATTGCAAGACTGTTTTCTTTGTCAGTCACCTGTGTTTAACATTCTGCAGCAGTCTTATTTGCTCTTCCAAAGTTCTTGGACAAACAAAAAGAATGGGACTGGGACCAAAGCCCTTTGGCATCCTTTTACTTGACTTTTTTTTTTTTGAGGGATTAACATGTCCTGAAGCTCCTGTCAAATGACCCAGACGTGAAAATACTACTGTGAAGAAGTATTCCCTGTTTGTTGCACTGAAAAAAAAGGAAAACAACGGTGTTGTTTCATGCTGATCAGTGAATACTGGTCCCTGAAGTGAGAGTTTCCTCCGGAGTACAGCCATATGAATAGATAGTTTGGTGAAGTCTCACTATTGGCGTCATTGTAGTCATCATGTGGTCCAGTCCTCTTACTTTTACTGCCAAGACGTTGTAATGACTCTAGCCCCGGCTGCTAGCCCACAGAAATCTGTTGGACAGATTTACTAGGTCTGCGCTTTTAGAATGGGTGAAATCCATCCTCCCTTTCCTGTTGAAAGTAACACTTAAGGAGGGCTTTGGTAAAGCAGACGGGCCCACATTGTGTAATTATGTAAAGTTACATGCATGGACATTGTAGGTGTCTGTAAGTGTTTACCTAAATCTCCCTGTCCTCCCTAAACTTTGTCATCTAAACTCTGACTCAACAGACATTAGGGAATACATTCACACCTCTGCTTGCTTTCTGAGCCTCTTTGTTCCAGATCCGCTTGCCGACGCTGATCTGTTCCCACACATGCTCACGTAGCTACAACACACCCCTCACACACCCAGACTACCCGCATCAGGACTGAGCTGGCTGGCATTTCAGATGGAAGTAAGCGAATATCTGCGTGTTCATCTCTAATCCCCCAGTTTATGGCTGCAGAACTGTGCTGCCCATCCCCCACCCCGTGTGTGGCTCACAATCCATTCTTTTCAATCTCTGTTCCCTGAGAATTACAGCCACTTCCAAGCAGCAGTGTGCACAGTATGAAAACTACTGTCCAAGTTTTGTTTTTGTGTGGAACCATTTCACCAAGGTCTTTTGTTTTGATTGTTTACTAATGCTTTAAAACTATGTTCCTGAATGCATCTTACTGCCACTGCATAACACACAACAGCAGATCATTGCTCAGTTTTGTTTCTATTGGTGCTTTGGCAAACCTGCCAATTGTAAAAAACAACAACTAATAAATCATTTTGAATTTTTAATGTCATTACATTTTCTGTGTTTTTTGTGTGGTAATAAACCTCTAAAAGTGCTCCTATCATAGACTACTGGAGACCTAAGAATTGCAGTACAGTCTGTGTGGGAGGAAATGCCTTTTTCCATTGTTTAGTATGAACAAAATCCAAATATTTCTTGTGGTTTCTGCTGCTTTGGTTTTGGGTCCAGCAAAGAAAAGGCTTCGGCTCGAGCTGCAGTAAGTTTTTTGTCATGCATTCAAAAACGGTATTAGATCATTACTTTCAATCAATTTCTGAGACGTCATCTGGAAAAAAAACATTAAACCGCGACTAAAAGATGAGGCGCAATTATTTAATGGTTAAAAACTTTCTGCCTATGCAACATTGAAGCATTTGACCACAAAATAGATGTTTCTTGAGTAATGCCAGAATGTAAATGTGTATTCAGACACAAAGCTGCTGAATTCTCCCCATCCTCCAATATGTTGGCTGACTGCTTTTATTCATTTCAGATAATGCTATATCACAGAGTATTACATCACTAATGCAAACATTGTACATGCCTTAATCCTCTTCTTCCTGCATGACGTCGCACACAGACACACAGGCTTTGTGGCTTGCTGATAAGACGCCGCAGCCTCTGGTTGGTTGGCAAACATAACTTTTCAAGCAGCCAATCCTTGCCAGCTGAAAGTCAGCCAAGTGAAGACTGAACATGTAACACACACTGCAGGACATGGCCCAGCCTCAGCTGCCCTCTGTCATTTCAAAAGATTTTGAGATTTCTCGTGTTTTTTTATATAACAAAACAATAACCGAAAGACAACCAAAGACAAATGAAATTGCTTTGCTTTTGCAAGGATGTTTAATATAAATACTTTTGAAAGAAAAATGTTGTCAGATATTCTATTTACAGGAAAATTGTTCTTTGGCCTTTCCTCCTTTACAACATATAACATTGTGTAAATTTTGAGAATGATGTTCCAGAATGATAGATTTAAGATGTACATTTAGATGTATTTTATATTGACAAACATGAAAACCTTATGTCCTTCTGCACATTATTCTAAAGATGACGGTAATGTGTGAATGATGTGATTTAACATTTGAAGAATGTAAAACAGACACACAAAAAAAGTTCACTTTATAAACTCCCAATTTTTTTTGCTGAGTGGGCTACTCGTCATCACTGTTATTTTCAGAAAGTACGATTTTCTGTTTCCACCTCATGGAAAAAACAGGAAAATATCTATTCCAGCTCCGTTGGTATACATTTAAATAAAGCTTCACTATCTATAATGGATGTATTTCAGGTCATTAGTGCAAATAGAAATCAGAAATTATCCAGCAGGTTTTCACATCTAAATAGCAATGTGGAGGTAAAAATGAAGGTCAGCACTTAAATACATTAGAGAGTAATGTGTTTACATGTCTTGCAGGTTACATCCGTTCTTTCTCTTATGCTTATTCTATCATGACCTTCATAAACTTCACCATTAAGTCCCCCAGCCCAGGAGGAGGAGAACTTCATTTCTGGTAGCTGCAGGACCAGGACCGAGGCATCAACAGCTCCAAGACACCATCCTGTTGAAGAGGGTTGAGATTTATTGTAAATATCACATTCATTGCTCCGCCTCCACTCTTCAAATATTCTATCCGATACTTTGATGACTTTATATACAATGTCAAAATCTCATGTTGCAGACAGCACATTTGTTATCCGTGTTAAGCTTTTATTAGTGCTGATGATGCTGCTGGCTTTAGAGGAATCCTTCTCCGGGGATTCACAAAGATGCAGGGGTTCATCGTGAAGTTAAATACGCTTAGCACGTCTGTGCCCATCTGTCACGCAAATCCTTCATTCACATCTGCAACAAATGTTTGATGTAAGGAGGCGACTTTCTAAGAGTTAAATACACGTCAGGCTTTCACGCGCTCACCTAATCTGCATGAGTTTGTGTTTGTGTGTGTGTGAACATCGGGAAAGAACTTAATGTGTGTCCAAACAAACGTGTAGTCTGCGTGCTAGCAATGACTTGGGATGAAAAAGGATGACAAAGCTAGGATAATGAAATGGCCAAAGAGGTTATTTGTCTGAGTTTGTCTCTCTCTCTCTCAGACAGTCAGTACTGACATCTCTGTTACGTCCACCATCAAATTTCTCAAGCATTAGTCACGGCATGAGCCTGCATAGAAGGTACACATTCATTTTCACCACCCTTTTGGTCCTGATTCCATTTAAACTGTATTTTAAGTTAAATTTTCCATCTATCAAGTCACATGCTGTCTTTTACTGAATGTGCCTCCAGCAAGTGATGGTTTTGATTATTTTTCAGGCTTTCTCTCTTATCTAATTTAAGTACATACCCCGGTCCGTGGGCAGTGTATCTGTGCGTACCACTCCTGGCAGTACAAGCACACCTGGACACCTTGACCGATAAAGAGACACATCCACATGATGACGTTGAATGCAGGACTCTGACGCTTGTCGTTCATGGTAAAGTTGAAAGCCACTAAAAGAGAAAAACACAGTGACTTCATCAGTAATTCTTTATTTGTCTTTTGTAATGTTGTAAAGGAACAGGGACAAACAGGTGGAAGCTGAAATGTAAAAAACTCAAATGACTAATGTTGAGTGTCAGAGGAGGAGAAAAAAATGGCTTCAAGCACACTGAACTTTAAAGAGTGCCCTGAAGAATTTCTAATCGTGTGTTTGAGTGAAAAATGAGCCTTGAAAGTAAAAATCAGAATATAAAAGTGATTTTTGTATTTTAATTTTTGTTAACAAGCCATGGAAAAACAATTAAGACCGTTTTAATCTCAGTGACAGTAATGAAATATCAACACATTTTCCCTTTTTGTCTCTAAAATGGGCTTTTGATGATGTGATTTACTGCAGATGTGCAGCAAATAATCACCATCATTAATGTGTATACAGTGGAAAAGACCATATTTAATTGAATATTAAGGTCATCTCTCACCTCCAAAAACGGCAAAGAGAAGGAACATGACAGGATAGAAAAACCCAAATCCCATGGCCAATGCGTATTCGTGGACCACGGCTGACACGATGAATACGGAGAGCATGGCAGCTGTTCGGAATCTCCTGTTTGACAGCTGCAGGAATCAGCCACAGAGCAGAGAGAAAGCTGGAGTCAGAGTTTAGGGGTCAGGCTCAATCAGCGGGTGTTAAACGTCCAAAAGCACTTCATCATGGGACATGCTACTTTGGGATCAGCCTGATTTAATCCCATCCACTGGCACTTCACTCACCCAAAGGAAGTCTCTGTATCCGTAGTAATACAACCAGTCATGAACAACTACATTCCAAGTACGATAATAATTGGCAAATGATGTAGAGTTCCACCAGTCCTTTGAAAAAGAAAAAGGATAATTAATTCAGTATAAATGGATAAATATGAAGATATTAATCAATTTAAAGTCACATTTCAGCCTGGACAGCTGAAATGAATCATTCAGGATTCCTAAGAAAGATATTCCTTTTGGTCTTTTTCAGTTTATTCTGGCAGAGAAGCAAAGCACTTTGATATTTTTGAAAGCATTAGAGCATACTGAATCAATAATGGCCTTAAACTCAACTAGCTCAAAGCCTTGGAGGTCAGACTTGGAGCTGAAGTCTGTGCTATGTACAGAATTACTGGAGAAAAAATGATAAAGGCTTGGATTTATAGATATAATTAGCCTTTTGCAGCACTTATTTCTTTGACAACTTTTTTTAAAGTAATTAAAATATTTTCTTCTGTCTAAAGGCTTCATGTCAGCTCAACCTTTTTTGAAAACGGAGGTAGCTTTGGGTACATTTTATCAGATGGTGAAAGAAAAATGAAAACATACAATGCATTGCCACATTATTAATGCAAATGAATTCAATGAATGAAGTATTTTTGGCCCACAGCTATTTTTTCAAAGTAAATCCATTTATTAGAGATGTCTTTATTTTATCAGCACTGCAGAAATTTTAGCGTAGTGTAAAACTGCTGTTTGAATAAAAATAATTTTAAAAACAAAAAAAAGAAAAGTAAAGGTATTATAAACAACATTTTTGCAACAGTGGCAGTCATGATTTATCAGATTTATATGTGACTGATGAATAATGAATTGATTTCCGCTCCAGCACCATCGACCCTGCCACTGAATAATTTCTTTTCCAGCTTTCTGATCTGTGGTGCAAGTGCACCGGAAAAAAAACCCTTGCTCTGCTGTCTTTAGAGGACCAGCTTGGCTTCCATAACTCCCAGAGAGCTGCTGGTGTTGTCTCTGTCAGAATCTGCCAAAGAGGCTGTTAAAGTACATGGCTTTATTTTGCAAATAACAAAAAGTGCTGTAGTATTTGTCATTATTTAAGGTAAACAAGTTGATTCAGTAGTTCTTCTGTTTCTTGGCTAACCTGGGCTGATAACTATTAAGCTTGATTGAATCAAGAGACTTAGACATGGCGATTTAGATAATGTTTTGGCATCATACTGTTGACCTGTCAATTCAACCAGATTTTTATTAAAGCGGAGAATTTGCCAACAATGTTTTCCCAGCAGGGTCTATGCAAAAAAAACCAAAAAACAAAGTCCATCACTCACTTTGTAGAACATCCTATCAGCAAAACGTAGCAGCTCCCCAAAGAGGTTCAGCCAGCAGTGCAGGAAGGCAAAGAAGCACAGCAGGAGGAGCATTATTCCTACACAGTGAGGGAGAGGAGAGCATCAAGAGGATGTCTTTTACTGCGGGAAGAACTGTAGCTTTACACTGTTGCTTTAATGTCAACAATTATTCTACAGACTCTTAAGGGAATAATAAACCTGCTAATCTTTGATTACCTACACCGGAAAGCAAGATAGCACATCCAGTCTTATCTGTGAGTCAGAAACACTCCTGCCCTGCTCTTAATCAGACAGAAGATATTCACTAGTACTGACTTTTTGAGGATAAGACGATGTATCATTGCTTGGCATTTCACTTCCTTTTGTCAGTTTTCCTTCTGTGTTTGTGTGCATATGTGATGCATTTTAGATGATAGAAATTACCTGGTAAAATGGAGTGGAAGACAGCCAGTACCATTGTTCGTTTACTAAATGGCTGATTGGTCTCAGGTCTGAAGACTGGTATACAGAGACGCACTAAGATGAAATATCCATAAAACAGGCATCCCAAAATCTATTAATTGAGCATTAAAACATAAAAAGAAAATTAGAAGGACATCTGGGAAAAGAGAATGGTAAATAAAACATTCATCAGCTGAAGTGAAAATGTGATGTCCGATATCATCGAACGGCGAGCTCCTGTGGTTAATGATGTACAACCTATTGTTTTATTGGCCTGTGACCTTACAGAGGCATGCCTATTGATTAAATATGAAATATGATTTTACTTTAAGGCAGAGTGTCATCTCACCTTGCCAACAGTAACACCAACATAGTTCCATCGTATGTGGCTATTTCTGTGAAAAAAAGACATAATGTAATTAGGACAAACGTGTTTATTGCAATTTAGTGCTTTCTATTGTTGTACTTGTATATACAATTTTTGCCTTCTTGTTAGGAAAAGCAGAACAGCAAATTTCCAAGTACTTATGTTTGCCATCTACTTTTTGCAAATATTCTCGGTATTATACAATATGCAAATTCTGTTCAGAGGTCACACATGGACGGCGAAAAATAGGCGACACAGGAGCAGGATGCTCTCTAAAAGAGAAAAGCTCTCCTTAATGTTGCCTGTGATTTTGCAGATATATTTTTAGCCACTTCTGGAGTTTAGTCCACCTTGTATGGGGAAAAATGTATAGCAAAAGGATGCAACACATGCAAGGGGTAGAAAAATGTAAAAATGCATAATATATCAGTCTAAACAACTCAATTTAAACCTGTTTGAAAAATGGCTGCTCTTTACTGGGCCAAATCAACCCTGACCTGATCAATTAGCCCATGGGAGAGACTGCTGTCTCAACAAAACATAGACTTTTATAAAACTCAGTATGTCTTAACCCTGATAACAAATCACAACAAAATACCTTCTATCAAGCATTGGCATTTATCCATGATGAGGTTGTTGGCAGTGTTGCTTGACAAATATAATGGCAGGGGAACAACTTACTGTGGTCATAATTAATGAAAAAGACGTCCGTTGCACTTCCTTGTCAAAGCTCCATTACATTATCGAAACAAGGGGAGAAAATGTATTTTTGTTCACCTGGACTTTTTGTTGTTTCCACAAAGACGTGACATAAAAGTGACTTGACTTATTAAATGATCTACAGACACTGATAGTTGAATTAGTCTTTTTTATCGTAAGTGGTGTGAAACAAGTTTTACCGAGGGTACGATTCCCTGTAGATGAGAGTTGGACAGAAGAGGAAGAACAGATAGCTGGAAAATGTTGGAAATTTGGGACTCTCTCCTGAAAAATAAAGACATAGTTCAGCATTACCGCACTCAAAATGTAGTGAAAGTCACAAAATAAATGATTAGTCACAGTTTCCTTGAAAAATATTGAAGAAGAGTTCGGAAATGTTTATTTTGTGCTTTTGCTTCTTATTTTGTTCTTGCTTGTTTTTACCCTTTGTATCAACCATTTAACCTTTCCATTTGCAAATGTCAAGGCTTCACTCCTCTAATTCCATTAGTTTTTTAAAAAACAAAAATGTCTTCATCCCATCACAATCTTTTCATTGAAACCTCTCATTGAAAACCACATTTTTCCAGCATTCTTCTGTATGATAGTAATAAAAGATGTGCAAATGTGCAGAAGAGTTTAAAGACCAAGCTCTATAACTGCAGCCTTATGAGGGTCATCATTTCTGGTCAGTGTTCTCCTGATTGGGTGGACTCAAAAACATTCATACTTACAAATTCAAGAAATGTCTTTAGCTGATTGGAAGTTAGGCCATTGATCTTTAAATTAAGCAGGATGCAAAGTACACTGATGTACACTGATGTATTGAAGTTGCATCAACTTACAAATGAAACACACCCTTGACATGTTACATAATTGTCCTAAATAGATAAATGACCAAACATACTCATAATAATCATGCTTTGTGTAATTTTCCAGCAGAAAAGAGTTAAGTAGCTCTACATTCATGCTTATATTTCAAATTATACGGCCATATCTTTCACCCTCTTAACTTTAATACACATTTCTAGTAGTAACTCAAGGGGCTAAGCATTCCTCAGCTTATTTATTGCACAGGGCTCCCATTGTTTGGTTTGGTTTCATTATGAGCCACTGTATAGGTTATCTGCTGAGCTCTGTGTTTGTATTTTTCCTCATGCGTTGCTCTGGGTAATGATAGTTCTTGCAGAGTAAATACACCTGACGCGAAAGCAGTGAGGTACATTACCTTTCTTTGGAGTATTTTTGATTATAGCAGGACCTGTTTCTCGTATGAATGAGTAGGTTTTCATCAGGAATCGAATCTGTGGAAATGGACGTGTTTATTATGTGGAGTTTACGTATCAACATCAGAGGCCGACTTTGGTAATAGAAAATGCCATTTATGCGAGATTATATATATATAGATATATATATATAAATAAACACACCTGCTCAAGAATCACAATGAATCGTGAGGCCGGTGGCAGCTGGTGATGCACAACCATGTAGATGGGGAACAGTCCCAGGACAGAGGTCTGTATGGCAGATAGGATCAGCCCTATAACCAGAGACAGCCCAACCTTGGAGGGGAAGTTGTGGTAATACGAACTCCAAAACAGCAGGGTGTAGTAGGGCACACACAGGGTGTAAAGGAACATAACACCCCAGGACCAGGTAACTGTCCCCAGTTTTCCAAAGGCGAAAAACAGCAAGTCAAACTCCAACACTAGCCTGAAATTATGGAAACAAAGACATAAATATGTAAGACAATTCCCATCATTAAATTAGAATGAACAGATATCAAACTGAATATGAGCGGGAAGCTTTAACTGTACAAACAACTGAAAACTATACAGTAGAATTAGCTCTGAAAATCTATCTTCCAGTTAAAAAGTGTCTGTTCTGGAGATGATAACAAAAGCATTTGTAAAAAAGAAAAAAGAATCAAACAACAACGAAAAACTTAAGAGCAAAACATTATTACAGAGCTGTCCAAAGCAGCCGCAGAGATACTCAGAAGGATTGATTGTGTTATCGCCCAGTTGTCGTGTGGTTAAGACAAGCACTTGAGTTGGGTGGAGGTACAAAATGAGGACGAACAGAAGGTAAGAGCTGAGTGAGAAGTTTTTGAAAGGCTTACAAGTTTGTATTTTCCATACAGCTTTGGTTCAGGGTTAATATTTTGATATGTGATATTATCATGAGCATCAACATCTCTAAAAGATGGGGGAGATGTTTGATGAGGAAAAAGCAAAAACATTTAGGTGATGGGCTCTGGCCAGCACTTGCTGGTAATGAGGAGTCATCTTTATTCATTATTTGAAGGTTTGTGTTCTAATGGGAGAGCTGTCCTGCAAAATTATCGCTCCATTCAGTTTACATAGGGATTGATGGAATGACTTGATGTGTGAAGACACATGTGAACCACACATTTTGGGCTTTGCGATCACCGGACCGACAACGATTGTCAGTAAGAGTTAGAGGGAACATTATTCATCTCTCCAGTTCAGTTAAGCAGACTTGTACAATCCATACCAAAAAGCTGTAAAGCTGTTCTGGTGGAACATGAAAAGGTTAACATCAATTACCATCCCAATTTTTTTAATTTGTCGCCTGTCTGTACATGCAGGTGTCCCACAAACCTGCCCTGGTCGATGTAGTCAATGGCCAGGGTGCTCAAGCAGAAGATGAGGAGTACAGCGATGAACATGTGGTAAATGGTCCTGATGTGGCTGATCTCAAACAGTTCGCTGGTGAAGAGGAAATAAGCACAGAGAGAGGAAAATCCCTTCATTATGGAGTCAAAAAGTTCCAACCTGCATGTGTTCACGTATGAAATAAAGACAAACATTTCTATTCAACACTATAAAGTCTGAATATTACACTCACTGAACTAAAAGCTGTCCTCTCAAACAAAAGATAATAGCATTTCTGCTGCCGATTGGCCACTGTAAAAATAAACAGCTAATTAAATCAAAATTAGATTGACATGGGCTGAAATAATTGGCAAGTTTGTCATTGGTCTGAGTATAGATTTCAAACAAGAGCAGGGGATTTGTGTGTAACCATTATGACTCAAAATTGTGTCAGTATGGCCAGCTGAGATTTCATAAAGCTGCTGTGTAAAACTGAGCAGCAGATTAAACAACTGAACATCCAAATTCCTGCAGAAACATAGTACAATGTTGCAGACTGGGAGGAAGATTGGCTCATAATATTGCATTCTGAAACTTTAAGTCTGGCCCTCTTTAGGAAAAGCATTGACTCCAGCATCTTCTCTTATTGTCACTTGAATTGAATCGAGTTATAGAGTATTTCTAATTCTTATCAATTTGACACAGGCAGGAGTAAAAGTGATAAGGATCCCTGGTGGACACCGTATAATGAGGATGATGCTACTCCGAACTTAACAATACTCACTCCAGCAGTGAAGCCCGTTCTATGAATACTTTGCCATCATCCATTCTCTGAGATCTAACACAAAGCATACATAGAAACAGTTAACAGTGTTTCCACACGGAGTTCTCTCCGTAAACATATAATAGACTAAACAAAAGGGTGTAGAATGTGTCTTCTTTCACCTGGATGACAGTTTTTTTGCGGTCTTTCCATTAGCTGTTGACTTGACATGGAATGAGGATTGGACGGACTCACTCAGGGTTCTGTCAAGGATTTCACTGAGGTGATCCTGGACCTCCTCCAGAACTTTTAACTTTACGTTCTACACAAAAAAAAATCAAAGAAAAGCTTACAAAGCACTCTTATGTATGTACATTTCATGTTTGAAATGAGATGAAAAGTGTCACTCTTTCTACAGCCTTTCTTTTCTGTTTTCCAAATTCCTTTTATTACCTGTTTATACTTTTGCCACTGCCTTAGATCGTCATCCTCCATGGTTTCGTGACCCCTGGCTGCAATGAGGACAAAAAAGATTGAAATATTACCAAGTCACAGAAAGCTTCTTATTCTTAGAACTCCTTCTCTCCTTCAGAAAGGCATCAGAAAGATAATAGGATAAAGAACTATCTTTTAAAACCCAGTACAAACTCTTTTTGACAGTACCATGGCTGGAGGTGCTGTCTGACTGATGGGTTTTAATGCTCCGATGCTTTGGTCCATTATGTGGCTCTGCAGTCATGGTTACCTCTGGGATGAAGCTCAACTTTTAGGATAGACGGCTGGAACCCTGGTGGAATGTCCTGCATTTCAAACCTCAGGTTAGTCTTACACACACCTTTGCTTCACTACAAACAAATTATAGAAATGAAAACCTACACAATAGCGCATAAAAAAACAGTCGTAATGGAAGCGGCACCGCTATGACGTTCATAGAAGTGAATATGAAAGCTTGTTTGTAGTACTTTTTATCTATGACTTCAAGTCCTGCCCTAACTAAGCACATAACACATTAACAGAGATGTGCTGGAACACGCCCAACAGATTGCATCCCCTTTGAAGGCGTTATGACATCACCGGAAGTTGATGCGTCATGCCTGTTCATTTCAGACTAAATGGAATTGTATATCTATATGTATACATATAGCTTCAGCTTTGAACGACAGTTACCCTCGGAGTGAGATACCATGAGAAGATATCCACAGTCATTGCAGTTCAAGCTAAACAATGTAAATATATGATAAAGCATCCTGTCACCAGGGGAGGTTTACACAGTACAGATAAGATATGCAGAAGACTCACAAAGCGGTTGTTATAAACAAAAGGGGGTCAAAAACACAGAGTGACCTCCTTTACAAATGTATGCTGTTTCATCACTTCACATGACAAATGCTAATATAGCAGATAACCTTTGCATAGATATACGGAGTAGTCACAGCGCAACTGTAAATTATATTGGAGCGTGGTTGTGCAGTTTACATAACGAATCTAAATCCTGTTTCAAACAAGCAAAGGGATCACTCTCAACCGTTAATTGATCGGTCTTTATTCACAGCCTGGATGTCCTCAAAGGTTTTTCTTAGATAATGGTTCACATGGCATGTTAAAACAACCCACATTATAAATATATGTGATAATAGTAGGTAATCACTACCTGCTATTGCCCTCTTTCATGCACACTAAATTTTTTCAGTGTCAAGAAGAGAGGAAGCCTTCGAGATTATATCGTGCCTTTAGGTATCATTATGTGTTTAATACTTGAGTTTCAGTCACAGGAGAACCTTTGAACCCGTCAACTCTGTTATTGATGGGTAAAGGTTGTAAACTAGCGTGTTGTTGCAAAATGTGGCTGTCTCCCAGCCTGTGTTGTCATTATCAATAGGTAAATCAGGATAGCCTCATGGATCTTATTCGATATAAGATATGAGGCTTATTAACTCATTTGTTGTTTCCCTATGAAGTATTAACTGCCACCAACTTATGAAAATTGTGAGAATGAGTGCAGAGCTAAATACATGCAATAAACTTTAAGTACGTTAAATCAATAATGAGATTTTTTTATAAACTCAGACTACAATTTGGCAGTCAGATGATTCAGCTGCATTTAAGTAAAAGTTTTAAAAAATCACAGTCACTGTAACTGATTTACATGTGGCAGATTGAGCTAATGTCTGCAAAATAAACATCTTTCAGGGTTGCTGTGAGGATAAATACAACAAACATAAGAGCAAACAAAACTTTTTTCATAACTTGTTACAGCTTGTCAGAAAATTTCAAATGTAGTCCTGAGCATAACTACACTCAACAGAGACACTTTAAAAATACTCTAAAAACTTTGAAAATATCCCATCTGACTATATTGGGTCAGCACAATCACAGTAAACAGAAACTTATATCTAAAACTACACCCACAAAATTCAATTGAAGTGAGCATTAATTTGACAGATGGCACATGGTGGCATGTATGGTAGATTTGTACTCACTGTCCTCAGGCAGTGGTCCACAGGACGAGAGGCAGTTTCATTAGATGATTCTCAGAGTGAGACCTGATGGTGGATGTTTCAGCAAACCTCTGTCATAGCCCTCGTGACCTACTTTGTCCTCTTTTCTGTTTTACGGGTATTTTGAACTTTGGCCTATTGGCTCCCTGCCCAGGGCAGGACGGATCCTCAGCGGCCCAACCACTCTCCAGCTCCTCTGTGGATGCCTGAAGCCTAGCGGATGACCATTTGACTTTTCCTAAAGTCCCATATTCAAATACGGTAAATTAATTTTAATGAAAGTCAAAATATTTTGTCACCTCATGCATTCGCTTTTACCCACTCTAAGCCAACAGCTGCTACAAGATATTTTCAATCTCTTTTTTCCAGGTCAAAGAAGTTCAAATCTAAAATATGTGCAACTAATTTGAATCGGGATCTATATTTAGAGAGCCACTTTTCACTTCTCTTCACATTCAATATTCCATGATGCAGTTTATGTATATGTGAGATTGCAGAATTAACACTTCACAGGACAGCGCATGTTGACCTCGGAATAAATTTATGTATGCATACAAATGTCGAATAAAACCAATCTGGAGGAGAAACTCAACACTTTCAAAGAGAGAGCTGCTCATTAAAATGCAGCAAATGATAATCAGAGATGAGCAATATATGAATGTTACGTTAAGTTTTATTTATTCTGCTCAGAAAGTAAGAATTATTATCATTTATTGTCATTATTTATAAAAATGTTTAGATCTTATTGAAAAGTTAACTATTTGATCTAATACAACGTTCCAAAGTCAGCATGGATCATTAATAGTTCTGTGCTGAAATTATTATTTTCTTTAACATTGAGTTCCACGACACCGTGGCCTGATTCCAAAAAATATGTTGAGCCATGGACTCCAAACACTCTCAATGCTTTGCACAATTAGTTTGTTCTCCGTAGAGTTTTCGTTTAAAAAAGCATTTAACTTATAACTTAATCTTAAATTCAAAAACTTTTTTGGTGTCATCATTTCAACACAGCAGATACAACCATCTCAAAAAGCATCATGGCGAATCAGATTGACATGATTATGTTTGATTTGTTTACAGATCTTGTTGTTGATGTGCTACTGATCTGTTCTATCTGGATGAGACAGCGAACTGACTGCAAGGCTGTTTGTGCTCTCCAGGCTCTCCATCAGCCTGTGAGGTTATTATTACAGTGGACAGTGACTCTCAGATATAATACTCAGTTAAAAAAAAATTTGGTGAAGAGGAAGCTGACTTATGTTGGATGTTTCAAGACAGTATAGAAAGAGGAAAGTAAATCTGAGTCAGTGTAAACTGATGGACATGAGATCATATTTATTGAAATATTCTCAGGTGCTACAGAAAGAGTACTCCATGCACTAAATCACACGCTATAAACAAACCAAGCAACGCACAATTGTACAAACAGCCAGAAACAGTTTTTCTCCATTTTTTCTTTTTTTTACCCTTGTTGCTCCCAACTGAATGTTTACATATTCAGGGTACAGTATCAAACATTACATAACCTCAGACAGGTTACAGTAACTCTAAGACCAACAGATCAGTAAGACAAAAACAAAGGAAAACGTATTTATCATCCTCACTTTTAAAGCTCAAAATGCAACCATACTGCATGTCAGGAGCATATCTGTTTTCACGGGTTGACAGCAGACTGACGGGTCACATATAAGTTATGTAAACACATTTAGCCCCGAGTTCAGTGGCCATTCGGAAACAGTTACAGAGTTACAAAGTTGGAAGTAAAGAATAAGTGGGAAAACTAAAAAAATGAAATGATTTTTCAAGATATATTTATTTGCCATAATATTGTAATATGTAACTCAATTGTGTGTCTTTAAATGACTTTGTCTGTTGCCCTGTCCACAGTGTTCTCTGTTAAGCCCATTGTTACGGGCTTAAAATAGTCCAAATCACGAACATTGAATAACTCTAATGTTTTGTCATAGTGAGGGAAAAAATGTAAAAATTTAATTGGGGTTCAAACACAAAAACATATGAAGTACAGAAATATTTTTTCATTAAGGAGCAGCATCATTGATGTTATTATTAGTGCATACTTATTTTCTGGAGAAAATAGTTAGTGAAATGTGTCATTTTCTTTTCCTCTGCCATTTGTTGCCTTTATTCTTTTTGTGTGGCGTTTTGTCCGTTTGAATGATTTCAGGAAGTCAATGCTAAAGAACTCTGACAGGTAAAGACAGTCTCTGTCATTCGCAGAACATACACACCACGCACATGAAGGCGCATACTCACACTCAAAGTTCAGTCCCTCCACAGTCACCCTTGACTCTTCTCATCCTGACTGTCTGATCAGGAGTTCGACAGAGAGAGCACGATGACTAGCATGGAGCAACAAACCGTCAATGTCTTCAGAGACAGGGTCGAACCGCTTATCTGCTCAGATATCTGACTGCACCCACTTTTATCCAAGACTTATGCCTTATCAGTTTTTTCAAAGGTTAAACACCTCATGAGTTGATGAGATGCTCTATCTCAGTTTGAGTGTTTGTGAGTATATGTCAGTGGGATAAGACATGATCGTGCCACCTCTTGATAACCTACAGTAACCCTGATGCCATATGCTCAAATGAGCCTAGAGGTTTCTGGTTATTTCAGAACAAATGAGACAATATGATCTGTCGATCTGTAAAGAGGTTGTTCAGCAACAAATGGTTAGTCTTCATCTTGATTTTTTCAAGTCAGAGCAGCCTCACATGTACATATACAAAACAATGAGATTCCAAAGTCTTTATCATTCTAATGAGATGAAAAAAGAACCAAAACATATTTATTGGTCAAAGTAATACAAAATGTTTACATTCAACAATTGGTGTAAATGAGGATAAATAATATATATTTCTTTCTGACTATGCTAGGTTTATAAAAATAGTTGCTACACTTTTTTTGCATTTTGCCATGCTCATAAATAACAGATGTCATGTTTTACACTTAATCCCTGACAGGCCTTTTTTTTAAGGATGATAAACAGCTCGAAATGATCCTCACGACTGCACAATGAGTCCTTAAAAACAACCAGTCGCCCTGACTTCGTTCTCTGTTTTGGTTCAGATGACGATTTTTTTCATGAATCTTAAAATAACTGATGCGTAATCAAAAGTCAGACATACTGTGGTCTTTGTTTTAAACTAAGAATTTCTTCTTAATGGAGAATTTTTTCCCGCCATAATGTGCAAAAGACTCAGCAATATCTAAATAAACCATTTTGTATATTTTAGTAAAGGAATAAAAATAAACCAAAGCCCCCTGGCCAAATCCTTGTTTTTATAGAGGTGCATATTTACTTGACTTCACACCAATTTAAACAGTATCCTCCAGATTAATTTAGGTTGATATGTGAGAGATTAAATAAAAATCCCAATAAATGAAAAATGTTCCTCTCAGGTGGCCAGAAGTTTGATTCATAACCTACTTTAAAGGGCATCTTTTGTGCTTTTGCTTGTTTTCTATCTTAAATTTAATGCTACAGTGTCGCGTGTCCAATGCTAAACACACGTGAAACTCTGCAGTATTAAGTAACCGGTATTTTAGTACATTTGTGGGGGTCACAGTGCAGACGTCATACACTGGGTGCTGAACCTTTGCAGGTCTCTGAAACATGATGAACCACAAGACAGATGAGATTTTGTTACCTGAAGCTGTCTGGTTTTCCTTTTACTTTGCTTGCTATCAAAGAGATAAACAATCATGTCAGAGCTGATTTTGGCTGCATATCAGGAAACAAAAAGATACAAAAGCAACAAGTCACCAAAAATGCTAGAAATGTGTGAAGCACCAGCTACAAACTGATGGCTATTTTTCTTTCTAATGTTATTTTGCATTTATCTGTCTTCAAGCTATGTTTTAATGCATTGATTCTCATATCAGAATAGAAAATAGCTGCATTGGAAAACTTGAATTATTGTCAGCTGACTAAAGTAGATTTGCTTCCAGGCTGGTTTCAGACAGAGGATTAACCTAAGGATTGAACTTTAGAGTTCTGCTGGAGGTCTGGGAAAGAGATACAGACCTACACAAATCATGTCATTCTGATATTCTGTTTTTTTTTCTGTTCAAGATGTTCTGGTACAAAAAACAAAACAAACAAAAAACAACAACATCAATGACCCTACTAAAATAGTTAGTTTTTTTTAGAGCCTGATACAAATATTTTTTCCACAAGTTTAATTGAGTTGTATAAACAGAAAACAGAAATGGGTGGTAATTTGCTGTCGTTTTTTTCCCCTCATTGTTTGTTGAAGGCCTTTTTCAAAATGAAGCTATTTATATTCATTGCCTGTTTTAAGCTATTTACTGAGGGATCGACAGGGAAAGTCCTACAACACTGATAGGCACCCCGTGCATTGTCGATTTGGGGACTTTTAATGGGATTTACTCATTATTCAATTAGCTATTTAAACTGATTACAGTTCTAAAAACGTTATCATGTACGGCAACTAACGTATAACCTTCTGTATTATGTTTTGTTATTAGCTCTGAGACTTTTAAAGATAATCTTCATGGTTCCTCCACTATCGTGCCCTCTTGGCAATAAATGAAGATCAACATCATAACAAACATGCAGTAAGAACTGTAAATATCGGTAAATCAGCACAGTTTTCACTCGGTTTTCATGTAGGTGGACACATTTCAAGTTTCTATTTTCAAATATCTCTTTTCAGATATGCCATACATGACAAATGATGGTACAAATAATGCTGTTACTTCTGACCGCTCTCTTTTTAAGTCCCCAGCGTCAATCAGCACCTGCTAGTGGTAAACTATCACACTACACTTTCCTGCTCCTTTCCATTTGTGGTCTCTTTGTATTTCAAGTCACGTGGGGTGGATGTAGCAGCTGGTGTAAGCTGCCAGGTTGGACATTTGGGATGCGGTGCCTGCCAAACTATATACGCCCCACACAAAGGAGAACACAAAGGAGAATGGATCAAGGAAGAGCGAGCAAGGACTCAAGAAAAGAAAAAAAGACTCGAGAGGACTTTTTACAGCAGGTGAAGATATCAGAGAGAGGGGAGTCAGGGAAGACAGTGATCAGCGGCATGCAGATTTACAGAGGAGGCCTCGGACAAATTTTCCTGCATAGAGAGAGAAAGACACAACAAAGAGTGATAACGACAGTTAGATGCTTAGGTAGTAAAAGTGGGAATGCACAAGATGACAAGATGAGTCATGACAGCATTGCAAGAAGGATCATGTCACTGTACTTCTGGTGTCTTTAATTGGGGCTGGTTATGTTTGAAAACTGCACTTAGTGGCCAAAATTAGCAGTCAAATTCACAAGCTGAAAACCCCAACACTCCACCAAAGATGTCAACGTTTTGAGCTTAATAGCTTTAATCATATTTCACCTTGAGAGTGATCCTGAGTCTACAGGCTGAATGGTGTTTTGTCATATATTCCTTTTACTGTCGATCCACCAATTTTCTACATTTGCTTTATCTCCCAGCTACCTTTGGGCAAGAGTTGGTTCACACCTTCAATGGGTTACCATTTCATCACACGGTCAGAAAAAGAGAGAAACCAGACTTCAGATAAGGTCAAAAGTAGCTCTGGATAAGAATTACCAAAAAGTCTGTGGGATGGTAATGGGATAAAATAAAACCCCAGAAATAGAGACTATTCAGTTCTTCTCCCTCACAAACTTTGTATGATACTTATTATTTTATGCAACTGAGTTGGTATATGAGGAACATTTGAAGAAAAAAAGTGCTGAATCCATGAGACAATATTTTTGAAGGGTTTTGGGGGTAAAGTTTCTCAAGGAACACCCTGTTCATGCAGTGCAGGCATTTCTATTATTTCACTCCGGCAGCTGGCAGAGTTCCCTCTGGAGACTCAGAGATGCAAAAAGAGGCATTGTAAAGTTTCATAAATCAGGGTGAGTCCTAAATCCAATAAATCAGCTTAGATAACATATTACAGTGACACAGTTAATAGCTTTTATAACAATTAGTCATCTGCAAGCAAAGACACACAAAATAAACTCAATGACAGACAGTTACAATCTCCATTTCTTTGGATGATGCTCGACCATTGGCAGAAAAATTCAACTAATCACAGACACATTTCGACGTGTCGAGTACAGTGCACTTTTAGGTGAACTGATCTCCTTTTAATGTGAACCTATTTCAATCATGCAAAGCACTCCTTCTGGAAAAATGTACCCAACACGAGTCCTGCAGGCAGAAACTGCACTGGCAGTTTGAAAGCTCAAGAAATGCAAATATCGTACATGACCATTTTTCAGATGTGAAAATCAAGTATTTTCTGGTCAGTGGCTCTCAAAATGTTCCAGACGAAAAACAGAAACGAGTACTTGTTCTGAGGGCTTATTGTATGTATTTCTTTGACAGTTTCACACTCAATTTCAGTTCTTGCGGCTGTTTTCAGGGCAATGTCTTTTTCATTGCACTGACTAATTTTCTTGTTTTTCAGGTTTAAGCTTGAGAATCGAGACATCACTCACTGTATATGTTTGCTCATTGCTGCATATCAGAGTACTTGATGTTTTGAATTGTAAGAATTTTAGAATGATTCTTTTTCAATTCTACTTCAACTGCACCCAGAAGTGGATATTTATTGATTAAGCAAAAACAAAAAGATTTTTATTCTACTTTTTACTTTTGACATACTGTAATAAAATGTGTAATCTTTTTAATTGATAATCAACCAGGTGGTCTGGTTCATACAGGCGCAGTGTACTGCAAATAAAACCCATTAACCCTTATTTTTACCATCTTACCTGGACAAACCCATTAGCTGGCTGAAGCTTCAGGCTTCAGGCTGTAGTGTTTGGCTGGGTCTTGATTGTCACAGACATCAGGCCTGGGTACAGAATTCACATTCAAACACAGGCTGAGCAACACGCCGGAATCACAGGCCGTTGCAGCAGCAGCAGCAGTAGCAGTGACCGCAACAAGGGGGCAGCGGTGCAGCAAAAAGACAGCAGTCAGGAGAGCAAGTTAGTGCTGTTAGTTATTCTTTACAATTCTTAAAACAAAAGAAGATGAACATGCAATGTGATAGTGGCAGTGCAGTTCTTCATGAGTATCTATTCCCATGACTAACCCTTACCAAAGTAAACTGCATACTATGTACAGTAACTTAGTCAACATGTCAATTCCAGGAAAAGACTGTTTCAACAAAACTCCAAATTACTTTCAAATGGTGTGTTTCGGCATACAGCTGAAAACTGGAAAGCCACAGAAAGAGCTTTCCAGAGATCAAAACGGGTGCAGTTGACCTACCTGTTGTCATTGATGTCTGTGGTGTTTCCTGTGGACAGAGAGAGTGCATAAAGATGCAGGCAGGTGCACAGTGGCAGAGTTGGTGATGAGTAAACTGGGTGGATGGCTGGTGGTGGAGGGAGTGGGTTTGTAACAGGCACAGGCACTCATGGGTTTAATTGATCTACCCAAAGCTACTGAAGCTCTATGGATTTGGAAAGCAGCTTAGTAGTCTGGCAACATCACCAGGAAGACAACAGTACAGAAACAAAACCTCGTTCTAGGCTCAGGTTTTTAAAAATATATAACTGAGAAGGACTGCGTTAATCAAATGCTGGTTGAGAAGTACTTTTAACTCAATGTAAACACAATTAATTTGTTCATCTGTCAACTTCCTCGCTGAGAAAATGGCAACAGAAAATATAGTAACATAATAGAGTGGTAAAAAGCGGCAAAAATAAATGCCTTAATTAAAGGCATAATGTAATCTCTCTACGAACATGTCCAGCCTGGATAATAGAGATGAGTAAAGCAGAATTACTTCGGCAATTTCGGAAGACTCACTGTCATTTTCTCAGGCAGACTGGAACATTATGGGATGAAAGTTGTGAAAAAAAGGCAGAGCTCATGCTTTACAGTGCATGCTTGATTCCCCATTATCACCTTTTCCTGGGGGATTTCAACACATGGTTTAACTCAAGCTATTGTCATTTATTTTTGGTAAACAAAGAGAAAATGTAGGCCGTTCTCTAATGGGGCATCATCATATCACAGTGCTACAAATCAATCACATAACTTGTCATTTTCCCACATTCTAACCTTTTTATGGTTCATTTTAAGGAACCAAACGGTACAATTAATGAAATGAGGACAAGTAAAGCACAAACCATCCAAAAGGAATGCGGAAGAAATTGAAAAAACATGATACCTCACATGACATGACTTGAAAGCAAAGATAAGGAGCAAGGGAAATAGGATGAAATCCAACTGTGTTTGTTGTTATGTATCTGCTGTTTCAGTTGAACTGGCTGGGGGAGGACAGCCACTATTCCTGCTTGCACAGCTAAAAACAAACAACCATGGACCACAAATTTTTAAAGCTCTCATCCAGAAAATGCCCTTTCATTAAAAGTACAACCCTTAACAGCTGCCTTTACTCGCGGTTCTACTTGAAGTTGCTGGGTCACATTACATTTTGTGTAATGAATTGAATTTATCACTTCATGAGCCTCCATGTCTGCACAGCACACTGTTTTACTGCAATCATTAGAGAGACGTACGTTCTCTGAACCATCATGACATAGTGTCATTTCTCAAAATGTTAATTTCAGTGTCCCACAACATATTGACAAACAGACAAACCGAAGAGCTTTAAGTGCTGCAGAGTTGTATAAATGTATTCACCACTGAGCACTGAGGCGTGAATATTTAATTTGTGTACAATTTCATGAGACTTCATGCTTGGCTGGGCTATTCAACTGAGAAGGCAAAAACACATTTTGACACAGAATAAAAATCTTACTCTTTCAGGGCAATATTAACTGTCAAGGTTTCACCTACGGCCTAAAAAAGGAAATGAGAAATTTATGGCACAGCCTTGATAGATACATTTGGGTTTGAGAGGTAGGCTTTCCCATAAGCTCTTATTGAAATTCATAACACTGTGTAACAGCGAAAATCACAAGGGATGAACAAGCAGGATTTTTGGCTTCAGAAGTTTGACCAAGTAAGCATATCGAACAGAATCCAGAACACTGCAGGAAACTATTTCAAATATCACGCCAGTGACTAAATGTTCATGATAACAGAAAGCATGTTAAGAAGAAAAATCAGGAATACAGCCTGATTTTAATATAAAAGGATTCTCAGAACAACAGCATCACATCTGAAATTGTAATGCTGTTGTCATGGTCTTGTAATGCTGTTTTGGACCTTTATTGATAGTACTGGCGAATGTCAGACCACCATCTCAGAGGCTGAGGTGACATCAAAGACCTCCCTGTCGGCTCTCTGAAGAATTGCTCTAGAGGCCTATTCCATCTTTTCTAGAGCTAACACTTGCAGACATTCCCGCACAAACATAAACACACAAAAAGCATCCAGCAGCTGGATCATCCTACAGTACAGTGGACACTGTCCTGGTACATTCAAACCATGGAAATCTGTATTTTGCTCGCATGTATATAGTTTATTCACAAATCGCTGACCTACTTTGAAACTTTCTACCTCTTTAATCAGACTGACAGCGGACATCTACTGACCACGTCTCCTTCACATGAAAATGAAAGTACGGAGAAAAAACAAAATATTGTGAAGACAGCAAGAGGGCAGTTGCTGTGAAGCAGTTTAACAACAGCCCTCTGTCAGAGTACATAAAACAAAGTTCAGACACAATGGCTGGTATGATGGCATAATGGGCATCACTAAAAAATGCTCATAAAAATAAATGTATTTACTCCATCTGAGTGAAATCATTGCATTATTCAACAGGCCTTATCTAAACAGGGCTCACCATTTTCCGAGTCGAGCATCTCTGAATTGCTGCCCGCTTTGGTTGCCTGCTCAGCTGGCAGCCTAGAAATAACAGATACTCTCGTCAGCATTATCATGTGAGTTGTGTTTCCTTTGAATCTTTTTTTGTTGTAATTCTTCTTTTATTGTAATTCTTTTCCTTTTTACAACATGCACCTATCATTAAAAACAAAAATTCTGTCAGAAAATCAAACAAAATCATTCAGTTAAATCATCCCCACTTGTACACACTTGGTTATCTAAGTTTTTCATGAGTAAGAATTAACAGTTGGAATTGACATTAACTGTTTTCACATAAGTTTTCAATTGCAAAATGTTATCTGTGTCTTCGTGATTGAAAGGATATCGTGCAACTAGTGAGCTTGATGTTAGAGCTCAGGTTTCCTTAAAAAAAACATTCTGGTCTAAAGCACAAACAGTAACGATCAGCTGACCATGTGTTTTAGCAGTTTCCATAAATATGAAACTGAAAAATGGTAATAAGGGAGAAAAAGACAAAGTTATGATTGTTTTGAGGATTTACCTCTGAATGTCTAATAAAAGGGGTCTTATTTTACGCGTCAGAGGATTATTTTGTTGAAGTCAAGGGGATGATTTTCAAAAAGAGGAGCCTCCCCCAAAATATGTGGTACCCTTTTAAACTTAGTTTACTCACATGTTGGTTGGAGCATCACTGTCCTGCATGTCGTTGTTTTGGGAGTCGAGGTGTTCCGTTGGACTGTTCTGGTTGGAGGTGGCCTCAGGTAACCTGGCCTCACTGTCTGGTGTTACTGGAGAGTCGGGGGTAGCTGCCGGTTGGCTGTTTTTATTGTAAAAAGCAGCGTTGCAGAAGGCAATAGGTTGTTCACTGTAGGCTCGGATGAAGGCAGGGTTGGAGGGACAGATTGGGTAGTGACCAGGCCGCACTGGCTTAGCTGGAAGCGATAACACAAGATCGAAGTCAAAAGATCAAAGCGAGGGCGTATTTAGTTCATTTTTAGAGATGGATTCATTGAAAAATAATCTATTGTTTTTATTAGTCTAGAATATTGTGTATATAGAGTGCCTATCAATGTACGACACAGTTTCACTGTTGCTCTCATCTGCAATGGCGTAATGCTGTAATGAAAATCATTATTCTGAAAACTCTCACATTAATCAATAGCTCATTTTCTCATAGCAGCAGCATACGTGCCTCTCATTTCTTTGGTGTAATTATCTTCAGTCTCACCAGTGGAGGTGGGGGTGGTGGCGGGTGGGAGGGATTGATCAGAATGGATTACTGCTTTTCTAAGAATTTAAATTCGTTTCAAGAGCGCACAGACTGGGTTCATCCTTACAGACAGAACCTCTTTCCATAAAAATGGTTTCTATTTTAAAACATTAAGTTTGGTGAATTATTAATAGGCTAAGACTGTTGTGAATTCCTTATGCAGGAACACTTTGGGAGACGTCATCATTTCACAACATGTACATTTATACTACTATCTCCTGAATTTGGAATGGACTGGCACCTCAATCGGCTGAAAATGCTGCAGCTTGCTCATGCGGAGAAAAAAACATGGGGGCTTTGGTATAGGGATGGAACGAGATCACAGAGGAAAAGAGTTCAGTCCTATAGTGCATGTTGTTTGTGAGGAGGCACCACAGGGACATGAAAAGAATATCTGCACTGCACCAAGGTTAGAGATTTCTCTCATAATGTGAGATGAAATGATTGGGCATGAAAGATAACTGTGTTTACATATGGAAATGAATACATGTTGAAGATGTTTTAAGAGAAGTCCAATAGTAGTTCCTAAAACAAGAACATTCTCAGATATGTCAGATGGCCATTGACACTGAATCCAGTTTATCTTCAATAAGCCAATCGGTGTGCAAGATGAAGATGAAGCAATACTAAATGCCAGTCCAAGTCCACAAAGCTGAAAACACACATTACATGCAGCAATGGGATATGAAGTGTATCTTAGCTCAATGTAGCTCTTATAAAAAAAAACAAAGGAAAAGAAAGTAAGCTATATGTTACCTATCTGTGCAGCATGGGGCCGGCGGAAGGGATTGCGGGCTCTCATGACATCTTTGATTCGCTCCACTTCCTGCTGGTAGTGATGGCGGTCCTTCATCGCCCCCTCCTTTGCCTCCTTCAGAGCCCCCTCCAGGGCCTTGACCCGCTCAGCTGTAGAGCGAAGGCGTTTCTCCAGTTTGGGGAGCTCGCAGCGAAGATCTGCGTTGTCACGCACCAGCTGAAAACACACAGGAATGCATAGGCACTGCATCCGACATCTGGCAGGGGCACATATGTGAGCAATGTCAGCAATGTTACACATTTACCTTTGCGAAAAATATTGGGTAACATTTGGACTGCAACACCTGTTATGTTTAAGGACTATATTTTGAACATGTACTTTGAAGACTAAAAATGAGTAACAAGAATACGATTATGTTCCATTATCTCAGCTGGAGATGCCAAAACCTTTTTACATGGAAGTGTTGACTCCAACACACACCAGTGCCTACTGCTTAACTCTGTCTGGATCCACTAGTGAAACTGTGGAATGACCTCAAGACAACTATTCACACAAGACAACCTAAGAATATGACTGAGCTGACAGAAGCTTGTCCGCTCAAAATATTTTCAGACTGCTTCGCCTGTTTGGCTCAGTGACATTTTTGTTTACAGGTTTAACCAGTTATAGAATTCTGTCTTTCACTGTGACTTTATGATAAACTAAATGTATTACTTAAAATCACTGCAGAATTTAAACAGGATCTATGTAAGTAAGTTAATTTAGCTTTTACAAAGGATGCACTTGTTAAGTGAATGCAGGAAACTCTGGTGCCATCAACAGGATTCTTTACCTTTAATATGTATTAAAATGATAATAATTAAGCAGTCTTTTTTCACCTGGATTTGAAAACTCTTTTGTCATTTGTATTAGCAGGCAATCATTATCTCTCCTCCTTCCAGGTAAAATAACAATTACACTAGAATGGAGATTCATTTCCGGGTGAGTTCATCCTGCAGACAAAACATTCTTGAATTCATTTTATCTGCCTGTGGCCCAGCCAAACTACTTTGCTCTTTGAATTATTTTGAAAGGAACCAAAAACAAAAGACTGAATAATGATTCCCAAGGGAGGTACATGATTTAGTAGGAGAATTCAGGACTTGTGGGCCAACAGATAGACGATCAAATATGTACATTTTAGAATTGTGGTGCACTGTTCCAGTGTCTGTTATTGAGAACCATATCACATTGCATGGGAAGAATGCTGAGTTAAAACCATGACTCTTTCCCACTGCCACAACATCAGCAGGTGGTAGATGGGAGGAAGAATCCAGCAGATGCTTTCGGATGTGATTTTTCCCTCACAAACTGCTGCATTGCAGCTCACCCCAATGTACCCACTTCTGAGAATGTGCCGGTCTGCAGAGCATTTATCACATCAACCCCACGTAAGCCGAAATGGTCAATTTAGGAAAATCAAAGGAAAAGGTAAAGCAAGTGGTTTTCCAGTGTAATCTGTTGGAAGGGCTGAGTGTAGCAATGGAGAGGCAGGAGGTGTTTGTTTGCACCTGCTCAAGGATTCACTCATTTGTCTTCATCAAATCTAAGTTCATGCTGCTTGGCTTATTTTCCCTAAAGGCAGCTTGGTTTAACACCTCCTTCTTCTCTGTTGTCAAGGAGGCATTCATGTGAATTTGTGGTAGTAAGATGATTAATAGTGCTAATGTTGCTTTTACCCCTAGGAGAGTGAGGACAAATAGTTGCACTGTACGGTATCTTAATTTAACTCTACTTTGTTGTCTCTTGTACTGTATCCTTTCAGACACTTCTTACTTCTCTCTACACCTAAGTTAAAAATGGATCATATTTCCAAGATGGATAAAACAAATCAGATGGACAGACACTTCTTTTCCTTTTTTATGATTCTAATCTACTGTTTTTTTATATATATATCCTGCTTGGCTACCTGTTTGTGAACTTTTGTAAGCTGCTCCAGGTTGTTCTCAAGAAAGGAAATCTTTTGTTTCTGGGTGATAAATCCCCCAGCTTCATCATGCGCCGTCTCTGCACTCTGTAAATAGAAACAAACACCGGTCAGCATTGTGCAATACCAGCACTGTAGCTCCATCAAGGCAGAGGTGAGTCTTTTTTATATTTTCAGCTTACTTTTCTAACTCGAGACGTGAGGTCTTGAACAAAAAGCTTGCGGAGGTTATGTAAGGTGTGGAGCTCACGAGTCTAGATTGAAGACAGATACATGTAGGAAATACTTCAGCTAAAACATACTCTTAAAGGAGTCAAATGAAACGTTACAGCAAATAATGACTTACAACAGTCTCCTCCAGGCCTTTGAGATCCTGCTTTGACTGTTCGTGCCGCTCATGGAGATATCTGTGGGTTAACAGATAGACAGAAATATTGAAAACTCATTCTGGACTTCTCTTTAACCAAATGATCACCTCATTCATGGCAGAATAATTTATGACTAGAGAACAAAGGCGGCCTGGGCTGGCTTCCCCACTCGTGGGACTGTTACCCATCTGCCATCTGATGCAATATGCTGCAAAGGTCAGTACAGAAAGAGATCTGTTAGCGGCCAGCTGTTACTATACTGGGGAAAAAAAAACTCTAATGGAGATGCAAAAAAGAATTGGATAGAAAAAGACAAAGCCATAAAGGAAAGTGTCAAATATTGGGTTAAAACGGATGAAGAATCACATACTTAAATTAGACTGGCATTCAGATCTCCAGAGTTATTGGATAGTAAAGAAGAAAAAACATCTAGGAACAACAGCTTAAAGAAGTGGAAGACGTGAATCTACGAAGGCAGCTTGCCTCCTGGACTCCATATGGTGAGGTGTTTGAAAGCTGGCCAAGGCAGTAAAGTAGAGACTCACGTCAGTTCCTCCAGCTGTCGGCTCTTGTGATGCTCCTGACTTTTGAGACGTTCAAAGTCACTGTACAGTTGCTCCAACTCCAGCTGCTGCTCCTGATTGCAGCTGAAGGGGGAAAAGGGATTCACTGTGACTCATTCCCCATTTTAAAAAAATATAAAAGCAAGCAAAGGCTGTAAGTCCCTCGTGGCTTTTTCTTAACAGAAATTGGATAAAAATCTGTGATGCAACGCAGAAATGAAAACCACTTCCCCAGTTTAGATTTACAACACGCTGTGTTAAAGAAGACTGATATCCACTTTTGAGTCACGTGTGAAAATGAATGGTCTGTCCTGAGCGTGAGGCATGGGGCTCCATTTCAGTGGTGGGGAGCAAAACTGATGACGAAGCACCACTTTTAAGTTCAAGGCTAGGAATTATTTTTGCCCCAAATTCTCATCAGAGCTATAAAGCAGTAGAGCTGCACCAGACGAGCATTTTAACAGACCTTAGGTGACCCCACTTTGCAACTAGGTCACATCTAAGGCATTGTAATAAACCACTGACCGACAAAGATACTGCAGCTTTCAAATATCAATTTTTCTGTGCATCTTTGAAAAATATTTAATGTATACCCCAATGAATTTATCCATTTAAAGGATCCAAAGGGCATCTCTGCTTCTATTTGCGTTCCACTTCACTGACATCCATCCATCCATCCATTTTCAACTCATCCACTTATCCAAATCAGCCTGTGCAAGCTGGATAAGCAGAGAAACCCTGAACGAGCATTCACAGGAGGATTCTCTACAGCCGTTAAGAGACCCTCACAGCCCTGCTGGGATGTGTACTTAGTTCTTTGAGGGGCTCGGCCCAGTGGTCTGCTCCCAAATGGTCACGCTTGGTACAATCCATGGCCAATTCCAGGCGCCTGAAGGGCCAGCTTTGTTCTTAGGTCAAACCAAGCCAAAGGCCCCACATGCTAAGGTTCAGCAGTAGGTCAGTTCTTAAGTCCTCCAATATTGCAGTTTCTTCACCATGTAAGCCACCCACGCACATCAATCTCAGCCTTTCAGTTACAGTGATAGATGAGACTTCTAGAGAATTCAATCACTGAGATAGTGCAATGTCTTTTCAATTGCACGACCAAATACTGCAGCTTCCTTTTCGAAAGAAATGAAACATGGAACTAAAAATTAATAAAAACGTTCTACTTTTGATTAATGTTGTAAGGATCCATTTTAAATCTGCTTTTCACTATCATTGTTTGATAAGTTATGTGTTCTTTAAAATGTTTCGTAAGTTGACTACAATGGAAAACTTTTCAGGGCTAAAAAGCCAAGACCTCAAGGAATAAGTAATTAAGCTTTAACTATGATCATATTGATTTTCATACTTAGTGAACTGAACTATGCTCCCCTGCCTCTTCATATGATATATTTAGAGTGTAGAATATGGAGCATTGATTTTGCATTGAACAACATGAAGAATTACAATGAGGCACTGACTCAGTTAAGTCATCGATGATCTTCTGTTTCTCATTGATTTCATCCCGAAGGCAGCCAAGCTGCTTGCTGTGAGCCTCGCGGTGTGACTCCATCTGCTGCTCCAGAGCCCTCTGAGGCACCAGCAATCACAAAAAAGAAGGTAGAGATACATAAAGTATGAACTGGCTAAGAGCAGAGTGAGTATGAGGAGATAATAAGAAAGGGAGAACAAAATGACCAAATTGCATGGGAATAATAATTATACACATGACTGCACAAGTGAACATGAACTTCTGCATGGGCATTAAATAGATTGATACACACAATAAACTATGTGAATACACTGCCACCGAAAATTATGTGAGTCTTGGAAAATTAAACTTGACCATGTTGGGTGACACATAAAGCAAACAGTGAAAACAACATATTTTTACCAGCTGTGGAAGAGCATTCAATAGCCAATTGAGCATCTGTTAATTTCCCTTAACAGAGAAGTTTGGAAAACAAATACATTTGCATAATCTTTGGTTAATTGTTTTACAATTTCAATACTTGTGCATTCATTTTGCCCAGATGGTGTATTGTTTGAGATGAACAACACCATGGATGCAATCAAAGACAGATATACATGCACACCTTGAGTGAGATAAGATATGAGCTGGTGTAATAGGGAGATAAGAACACTAAAAGGCTCCATCTGTTGTCATGGTTACCTTAATATCACATGAATTCTGGATAGATGCGTGATTATCTTCACCGGTCACCTGCGATAGGCTCTCTGAAACAGAGGGGAACACTGTGAGAAAGTCACATGGATAGTAAATTAGGCTGACAGCATGTTGCCGTGTCTAACATGACTGATATCGATCAAAAAGGTGACTGTGACCTGGCTTTGATAACACTGCGTTAACAGCTGTACCATTTGACAGAGGTCAGCATGATCCAAGCACCCTCCTAGTATGAGATCATATCTGTTTGTAAATTCAGCCTGTTGTGTTACGCTAACCTGATATTGACCCGCCGCTGTTTCTCACGTACGGTGATGAAATCACTGAGCTCTGCTCTATGCTCCAGCCAACCTGCGCTCAGCATAACCTGCAGCCCTTAGCGTCACTACTATATACAGTGCCTGGCTCGAGCATTGGACTCAAATTAATTTACAAGGTCCTAAATCCACCAGTTATTTAATGTACTTCACTGGGACTCCAGTGAAGGAATTACTTACATTGCCCCTAGCCTGATTTGTGAATTGTGTCAGTGCACTGGGAATATCTGTAGTTAGCTGGACCTTGCACAAATTTCAGGTGCACTATCAATCATCTGATGCTGATCTTGTGCAATGTTTATTTACCCTTGTTTCTCTTATTCCCAGAAGAATATAAAAACTTCCAGTGCAGAATCAATTTTACTGAAAGAAACCAAATATTTTTAAAAGGAAGTCCCACTTCTTCCTAGTTGTATTATTGGACTGCTAATACAGAGAATCCTTTTAATTTCCTTTTGTAATTTTGTTTGACTTTGCCGGAAAACTGACCTTATATTTGACTTTGGCATCTTAAGTGTGCAATTCATCCATTTTTGCTGTGCTGAATAATCTAAATATCGTCCCTCATTCCCTGGTGAGATGTAAAACCCAAACTTCTTTTTTCATCATTTAAAATTCTAGACTGTAATTTAATTCAATTCAATTTAACTTTCTGAAGTGTCTGTGTTGTGCATTGCTTTGCTGCCATTTCAAAATTTTGACTGAAAAAAGATTACCGTATATTAATTTAGACTCTTCAGGCTCTCTGAGCGTTTTTATTTTGAACAATCAATTAAAAATCAAACTTCACTCTGTATATTTAGGGGAAGATGGAGGGACAGCCTGGTCACCTTGAACCAAACATGGCAGGCACACAGTAAAGCTCTGCCACTCCACATTTGCCATCATAATCACAGCTGCAATCTGCTAGAGCACAGACCTTTGAGTGATTGGATAAACCGGCTATTTTCTTTTAGCCAAGGCTGGATTTTTCCATACTCTTATTTTGTCACAAGCACCTGCAGTCGGTACCAATTTTGATCCAGACAAAACAAGACAGAGTGATGAAGATTCTAGGATGAATTTAAATCACCTGATAAGATGATACAGTGATGTTTTCCTGATAGTGTAGGATTTATTATCAAATTATTTTCTGTGATTGTCTTTTTTCTTTGTTGATGTAAAAGACTGATAGAAATAATGCCGGTCGTCAGTTATTGCTTGACTGTACCTTGAGCCTGGAGTTTGGCCATCTCCTCGGTCAATAAGTCATAGCTGTCCTCGAGCTGTCTCTTCTTGAGCTCCACTCTCTGCATGTACTCAGTAAGAGAGCGGATTTTTGCCTCGTGCTGTAAATCACAAGCAGCATCGGAGTTACTGACAAGGATAAACTTCACCCAGAAATACTACACCAACTAGAAGATGTCATTTTCTTCCTGGCTAAATGAAAAAAGGGGAGTCTTCACCATAACTGTCACTATTACAGTTTGGTTTAAATAACAAAATTAGTCACAACGATTTCGTAAAACCTAACACAGTTTCAAACGGGCCATGCTATAAGACAAAATATGCAGCTTGAACAGTGTTCACGAAGAAAGATTCCCGTGCAGGGAATGTAAAATCGAAGCAAAACAGCCAAGTGATTTCTTAAAGCATACAGCACTCGATTTAAAAAATGGTGTAAACAACTATTCGGGGTGGTAGTTGTGCCGATAAAGAGGAGTGGACTTCAGAGTTACTGCAATGATATTAATATTTTGCATTGGGAAGTTCCAGTCTCTGTTGTCTTATTTTCGCTGTTATTTACTTCAAGTGTAACAAACTTCTCTTCCACACCAGATATCTTTATTTATTTATTCATTTATCTTTCCCCATGTTTTTTCCAGTGCTGGTGTATTTCCTCCTTTTTTAAGAAATCAAAGCGACTAACAGCTGATGTATCAGCCCTAGTCTTCACCTGAGAGACCGAGAGGTGGCACGACGACAGCTCTCTGCTCGTCTCCTCCATTTTGCGGTGACACTCCATTTGGAGGTTCTCGAGGTGCCGGCACCGCTTCACCATAGACTTCACCTCTGACTTTATTTTGCTGATGTACAGACGAGCCACTGTGAATTCTTCCTCAATCACACCGGTAATCTCCATGGGCTGGAGATGAATGAGGTCGAAGAGACAATTGAAAGCTTGTAGAGTCAATATTTGATGAAGACTGAGTGGGGATCACTTAAAAACAGATGGCAAGTGAACATAGTTGATCTGGAGAAATCGTGGACTTTCTGGCATTTGCGCTCAAAAACGGTTAATTAACAGCACAATTTAGCAGATGCTGTGACTCAGCTGCTCTGAAATGGGCCGTGGAGCATCAAGGAAATATATGCATGAATCTGAATGTTTCATATTAAGATGGAAATGTCTGTAATTCTAAAAGTTTGTACTAAGGGGCAATTTAATTTAGGAGAAAAGGATGAGAAACTAAATTTTTTCCTTAGACAATGACTAAACATGTCTTTGCTGCCTCACTCACCAGCTTGATGTCCCTGTTTCCAACAATGGTGCTGAACTCACGAAGATCCCTCATGAGCCCATTGAGAATCTCAGCAATGCGTTTTCTTTGGTGAATGCTCACTTCCTGGATACGGGACAGCTCCACTTCCAAAGCTCTGAGATGGGACTGTGTGAAGGGGGAGAGAACAGACGAGGTGTCAGGGGAGAGAAAAGATTCCTTCACAAAAAACAGGGAAGCAAGATAGGAAATATGTTGAATCAAGTATGACAAGAAAAATGCTGGCAAGGTACATTAAAGACTGGTTTCTTCCTATCTTAACCTCTGGAAGTATCACCGGCAAAGTGTAGAAGCAGTTTCCTATCTAAGTTAAATACACAAACGGTGTATGTGACGAAAAACTAAACAAAAACACGCTATATCATATTTTCAGATTATTAAAACTGATGCCTGGTGGAACTACAAATATCTTTTAAAATTGTCAACTTTAATTTTGGATCATTTTAAAATCTGTGGCAAAGAAATTGTATTTTTGGAAAAACTTTTAATCAGTGTAGCCTTTACTCAGTCTGGGATAATGTAACAGAGAATACCATATTTTTCTGATGAGAATTTAAATACAAAATAACAACATCGATCTGAAAATAAAATACAAGTTAGCTGTATCAGTTAGCTGATCCAGAGTGCATACTTTAACCACTGACCTAATTCTGATTGAACAAATCTAAGCAGAGAAACAAAATGGCCAAAAAAGTAAAAAACAATAAACTACCGACATCGTTGGAATATGCGGGATGAGTGGCAGTTGCAATTTATTTTGGCATTCCTTATTCTGAGTGCCAGACAGCGAGACCATGTTGTGACCCCAATGACCCAAACACAATGAAGTAATTTTGGTTAAATCAATACCCTGATGTAAATGACTACATGAAAGATGCTGCAATTCATTGCCCTTTTCGATTTAAGCTGGCATTTAAGATCGTTAGTGGAGGCAAGAGAACAGTGAGACCAATAAAACCACTTTTGTTCAGGGTCATCAACAGAAGAAGAATATTACTGCCCCCCCATCTTCTCTGAAGATAGCCTGACATCAAGAGAGCTGGAGAATGTTTGATTTTCACATCATTCGATTGGCGACATAAATGGAAGATTTTCTGCCTGAAAAGATAGATTTTTTTCTGGACTGTGATCTTAAAAATCTATAACAAATCCAGCTGGCTCTGATGTGGACTGTTCTAAGCCCCCAAGAGTTCAATAATATGATAAGGCATTGCAACGCGGCTTCTATAATTCATGTTCTCATTCAAAAAATATCAGACACTGGGAAACAGCGCAGAATTAAATACGACAAATTCATAGAAAAAGCTTTCAGGTTAAAAAATCTCTTAAAGGCAATTCCCAGAGAAGAAGTTCAGCTCTTTTTTAAATGGTACCTTTTCATCCACCTTAAATATAGTAACATTTACCCTTTTATCCACTTTACCATCTCCATCTCTACCATTAAAAGGGTAGTTAAAAGGTCATTGAAGAGAAGACCATTGGATGGATTGATGGAGTTAATAGAAATGACGGAAAGGAACTCAAAAGTCTGAGATGAATGCCAGTGACTTAGAGCGATGGCCCGGCCTAGTGCAGAAGAAGAGAGGAGTTTCTACTGAAAATATTAGAAGTCTGAGACAGTGGGATGATGAATGGACTCAACTGTACCATTTTTCTGGGTCAGTGCTGTTCCATTTCTACTGTACCTAAAGAAAATAAAAAAAAACTACGAAGCTGTGTGTTGTGAAAACAGATGAGATGCAGGAAGTGGCAAAGTGGTCCTAATGATGTGATTTTTATATAATCTCTTTATGCTGAGTCCACTTATATTGAAATCTCATTTGTGTTTGGTTTCACACCTTAGTGACTCTGCCGGGCGGCGTCCCTGAGAAGGACTCCTGAGTCAGGTAAGATGTGTGGACAGAGGAGACTGAGAAGTTGTGCAAATGAGCGAGAACAAATGGCAGTGTCGGCTGGGTTTAGAAAACCAAACCGTGCAGCAAGTCATCAGTTTTTGGACCAGCTTATGAGGCAGACACAGATGGAGAAAGATGGCCCTCTGGCAGATTGTAAAACCCTGCATGAAATATTGAGGAGGATTGAACAGGGTGAACTACCAGAGTTGTGATGAATTTAGTTGGCGTCATTGTGATTTTTAACATCGTAAGCTAGTGTTGGCGAAGGTTGCAAAAACTCCATGATTTCTGGATGTCCACAGTTTTCCTGTCACAAAGAAGCTTTCCTGCCTGAATGCAAATCTGTGCAGATAAAGGACGAAACTTCAGGGACACTTCTTTTGTAAAAAACAAAAACAAGGCCATGAGTACCACTCATTGAAGAGCGGAGGATTATGCATAGCAAGATTTTATGGCATTTTAATTTGATGCAGAAGTCAGAATCGGTGGAGACTGATAATAGACAGTGACACATCTATCAGTCCTGAACATCTGTAGCTGCCTATCAGGACACCCATTTATGAAACCGGGAGGCAATGAAAGAACGATGAGAGACTGAAGTCAACAAAGACTGGTGCAGTGTTCTATTTTCAGTTTCTTTATGTCTTGATTTATGATTCATCTCTTGCTCTAATATGAAGAAATGTTTATTTTGTTATGCAGCGTATAACACACTTTATGAAAGTTAAGCGTTTTTTTTAGTTCATCATGTCAGTTTACTTTGTTATGCAAGGTATAACACACTTTCTGAAAGTTAAGTGTTTGGTTTAGTTTAGTAGTTACTAAGTACCATAATGTCTGCTGGAATATTGGTCATCATAAACAAATTTCTGTAATCATGATTATGTTTTAATCGATTTCTCTGATGGCCTTATTCCTCCTGATCCTTGTCAATCCCTGATCTCTCTGACAACATCAGCTTCAGAATAATAATGCTGTGGTCTGTCCAGTGTATTTACATAATCAATTTCACCAACTCAGTTGATCCATATATTTTATGGTTAAACTCCACCTCAATTGCTGCTCTCTCCTCTGTGAGGTCACTGCTGGGAGTTATTCAGTGTACAGATTTCTGATACGGAAGCAGCTCTAAATGTCATCATTAATGAATTGTTACTCAGAAAACCTACAATATATCATGCAGCATGTTCACACACCGGGGTAGTTTACTTGCAACATTCTCTTTAAGAAGATTACTGAAAGAGCAAGGTTTTCTTCATTGCCTAAGATATTTCAGCTTCAAGTCACACATTTCTGCAAGAGCAGAGCATCAATGTACTTTTATATAACAATATCAAAACAAGACTTGTCATCAATCAGAGAAACCTGCACTCATGACTTAGTACAAGAGTCTTTCTCTCTTGTAAAAAAAATGTGGTCAGTAAAAATTATATGATTCAGTGTTTCTGGTATTAATAAGAATCAATATCAAACCTTCTGCGTGTACAATTAACAGCACATGATGCCAGTTTTAAGATTTTTTTTGTATTTTCCTTTTAGGAATCTGTTCATTGCTGCAAAAGATAATGATGCAAAAATGATTCTCGTCTTTCCTTTTGAAACTAAATATAAGATTCAATTAATCGGGCCAATGAACAGATTCTTATTACTAATTTCAAGATTGCTCTTTGTCTCTTCAACAACGCTCTCACCATTATTTCTTTTTCCCAGATTTAAAGCACAGCACATTATCATCTCTGCAGAATTTATTAGACGCAAGCATCCTAAAAATCAGACAAACCATCTTTTTTGCGAGTTCCTCCGCGAGCAGCTTGTTCTGCATGCTCTTTTCTTCGACCTCCAGGCTCTTCTGGTCGTAGTTTACCGCCAGTTCCTCCAGGGCCTGAAGGACCTCCTTCACCTCTGCCTTAGCGGATTCATTCTCAGTCTGCAGTCTGCCGAGCTCCGACTGCACCTTCTCACTGTCTCCCCTGGAAGATGCCAGAAGCTGGGGAAACATTTGTTTGAAAGAAAACACAAATACATAATAAGCTTTTAAGAAGCCATCTCTTATTCACTTATAAATTAAAAATGACAATGTAATTTCTTGTTGTTCCCCTGGAAGTAATAATAGGGGTTTATAAGCTCAATGCAAGTGGAACTAAACCACACCTTTTAAAATATTCATAGTAGACGATAAGTCTAAATTGCCAGGGAGGATTTTATTTTGCAACCATGGTTCTTGTTGAACTACTGCCTCCCACTGAGGGTCATATCACTAAATGATTTTCATTACATCTAAATGTTGCTCCTCCCAGGGTTCCAGCGTGTTTAGGTAAGCAGACCGCATCTGTTTGAACAAATGGATGCTACTATATCAGTCTGCAGCTCAGTGGTTATGATTTTGTTGGAGCAACACAGCAGGATACTTTCTGGATGTGAATGAATAAATTCAGAAAATTTGGAGACCTGTTCTTAGTTATGGATCATAAACTACAGCCTATTTCAAGTTGATTTCCTTTTGATATTAGGATGTCAATGTTCATGTTTTGGTTCATGTTTGTGTGGCCCTGCGATGGACTGGCAGACTGTACCCTGCCTGCCGCCCATTAAATACTGAGATATTCTCCAGTCCCCCCCATTTGGGAATAAACAGTTTAGAAAATGGATGGATGGATGGATGGATGGATGGATGGATGGATGTTCATATTCTTTAAATTCAGCGCAATTCAGTTTCAAATGATTATCTAAAGTGCTGCTTTTAAGACACATATATCTTTAAAAGTCATTTATCTAAACCTTTTTATGTTATATACGAGTAATTAAACTCAAGACTGAGACTGAATCACCTGCAAAATGAGCATTAACTGCCAAAACTGAATGCCAAGCTCCAGACCTTCATCTTCAGTCCTTTGTGTATTGATTCTCCTCTAAACAGCTTGTACATGAGCAGTCAGTGAAATGTGTTCTATTTTAAGGTGCTGCAAACATAATTACACTTACGATTTAGCAAGGACATTTTGATTTACTGAAATGGTTTCCGGTACCTAAAAAGAGTTGTTTTTCCATCTCATTCATTTCAAGGGCAGGATAAGAAAAGCCTTTCACAGCTGACGTCTATTTAGATTGTGACTTACACTTGCTCATTTGCAGGAACTCCAGCCCACTGTGAGCTGTTTAACCTAACTGTTGAAAGGAAGGATGTAAAACCAAGATCTTTTACCTCCTCCTGGTCGAGCATCTGTTCCTTCAGCTTCTCCACCATCTGGCTCTGGTGGTTGATCTCATCATCCTTCAGTGGTGCAGACACAACATTGAACAGATACAGTTAATCTGCATTGGTTATACTACAGTATCACCGTATGCACACAATTAATCAGCAGACTCAAATAGATACTGGATCTGATCAGACTACTCTTCACTGTGCTAATCAATTAAATAATCATATGTAATTACACTTTTATATAGTTTTACTGCAGGCAAAATCTCGATTTACCAAAAACATGCAACCATACAGTATTTTGAACCTTGTCTGCTAGGTTCACATTATAAATGACTAAATAAACCGCATGCATCCTGATGGATTACCTGTCTGTAGTGCACTCAGAATGAATGTGCAAATACATTTGAGGCATAGTGCTATTCTCATGACAATTGTGGAAAAACTGTGCCACACTTTCAGTGCAGGTAATTTCTTCATATCAAAAAGAATATCCATTGTTGCAAGCACTTCTCTACAAAACCACTCTAGAGCATGACAAATTTGCACAAGAACGATGTGTTGAATAAATGAAATTCAGAATTGTTTTTACATTTCTCCTTTTTCCATTACTTGGAGTTGCCACATTACCCATTAAATATTTGATTCTTTGAATGATACATAACAATATGCTCTTTGTATTCATGCTGGCATACTATTACCAAAAGCACAATATGGTGTGTAACCAGTTCTACGTTCGTGTACAAAGGCTCCTGGCTGCATGCATCCATCACCTTGTCGTCCAGCTGTTTGTAAAGCTTGCGGATCTCTTCCTCATACTTAAACCGTTCCTCCTCAGAAATGTGAACCACAATGGAAGAGGCAATGGAGCAGGGGGTGCAAGGCGTGCAGGGGCTGTCCATATCAAGAGCCGCCTCATTGGAATCGGTGGGCACAAATAGGGGATCCTCCTGTTCTTCCTTAAGCTGCGCCAGCACAACAGCATTCTCACCTAGAGTTAGGGGACAAACTATTTGTGATGTTCGGAAATCTTTTGCCCTTATCCGTACCAAATCCAAGTCTAAGCATTTAATTAACAAAAAAATATATTACTAGGCTTATCCCCATAAACCTCTCCTTTTCTCTAAATGGATATTCAAGAGGCTCTTTAGAGCCTTAAATGCCCTTTTTGCACCTCAATAAAATCTGTCACCGAGTGCTCGCTCGTCGGAAAAAACGTTTGTGTTTTTCAAAATATAAAAAGTCCTGAGACAAGGCAATCGAGATTTTACAGTCTGCCCATAAATTGTGAAACAGCTTACCTCTTCGTTTTAGATCACCTCCCACTGCTAAGCTATTCAAATCATTATAAAAGACATATTCTTTCTTGTTGAGCAATTTTATCTTCCCAGAAGATTTTACAGTGAATCTCATGATGTATTATTAATTTATTTATTGTTTTATACTCTGAAACTCTTTCCTTTACTTAGGTTGTGTTTAAATGCACTACACACAAAAGACAAGAGCAAACAACAACAAATAAACAAAAAGAAAATAATGTAACTGAATATGCCATAGGATGAACAAAAATTGTTGAACCACTGTTTTTGAGGCTCTTTGTAACACAGAATTTGTGTATTGGCCTCTGGAAATATATTGAGATTAATTGGAAAAGTTACAAGCCTACAGAGAATTGAGTCTTATTCTTATTAACTATTATTCTATGGCATATTTACTTATTGACCACAGTTTCAGTAAGGTGGAGTCTGCCTTTTTAAAGATCATCACGTGATAAATCATTAATGCTTTCAGTTTGAAATAACTGAAAAAGTTAAAAGGAATCCATGAACCATGAAATATTCTGAACACTGGGTTCTAGATACATTTCTGGCTTGTACTTAACATAATGTATTTATCACTGTATATATTTCACCATTTCTTTTATGTAGGCCTAAACTGGCATGGAAATCCAGTCTTGACTCCAGGCCCCAATCCTTTGTAATTTTTTTGCGAAGAATAGAGACCTACACTCATTGCCAAGTCTGTATTTCTATTTTCTGTGTTGCCTTGCGTGATTCACAGCTCAAATACTGACATGTTATGAACTACCCCCCACCCCCCAAGGCTATGCACTGTCTGCATAAGCTGTTTTTTTTAGCTCCTGTCTCTTTCAGCTTTCAGCTTACTTGAAGTGGCATGCTATATATAAAGTTGCATTATGTCATATTGCTTAGGGTGCAGTTAATTTTTTTTTGTCATTGCTCAGCCTTCAAGCAGGCGTTATACCTCTGCTCAGATCAATTAAACAAATGATCGCTGAGGGGAATGATTTAGATCATCCCATTGCATCAGAATGCTGTAATGTTTCCAGGGTAAATATTAACTTAACAGTCAACCTCATCGCCAAGAAGCAATGCTTCTGTACTTAAAGGTGAACAAGAACAACAAGAAAAGCTGAAAAGTCAAGAGGAATAAGACATTTGTCTACATTGCCCGCTACAGATCTATTTCAGAGTGGAAGGAGAGACAAATTTAGTGCAATTAGCAAAAAGAGTTTCTCCTTTTAATGCATCAGAATTGACAAAGCGGTGCAAGGTAGAGGTCAACAACATCCACCTCAGGGAGTTTTTTGTCTAAAGTAGGCAGCGAAGAGGAGGCCAGTGAAAAGGATATGGAGGTGAAGATGTTGTCAAAATGATCTATTAAGGAAATTAAACACATTCAATTGTGAGCACCATAGGGAAGAAGAGAGTCAAAAGAAAGGTTATATGCGCGAGAAGAAAAGCTAGAGCAAGGAAATTGGGTGAGAGGCAATAAGTAATCATTTTCACTGATAGATGCTCAATAAAGATGTGTTACAATTTGTTTAAAATTCAGGTCAGGTGCGGAGGGAGTTGTCTTCAACTCAGTCAAGATTTAAAACACGGCTTGCATGTTAAATTATCAATACCACTGAGAGAACTGACATTTAAAACATTCAACAGAAGGAGTAGATGTGTGTGTAAGTCAGTGTGCATGAGATGAAAAGTGAATGTGTGTGCGTGCAGCGACTGATTTTTTTTGCACACCAAACACAGATGAAAGTATGCATGCCTCCGTTTGCTGTCATGTGAGAACATTAATGTAAGTTCTGATGATTCAGTAGATGTGCCATTGGTGATGTGAGGAATATCAAAAGAAGAATTCATAAAACATAAGGCCTGCCACTCTGGCTGCTCTCTGTTCATCACAAGAAACTTCTGTGTATTTGGGGAAACCAAAGAATTCTGATTGGCCAGATTCATTCTAAACAAGCCTTCAGATAAGACCAACTCATCTCTGCACTGACATGAGAAAAACGTAACATCTGCCAAGAGGAGAAAATTTCATCCCTGCTGGTAAGCTATCTCCCATTCATGAAAACAGACTGTTACAAGCACACAGTCTGTGATCATTCTTCCATGGAACTTCTTCACTGTCAATCTGCTGAAAAACATTTATATTTTCAGTCACCATGGTTGTACATAGATTTTTTTCTGTTTATTAAAAATTTAAATGCTGTGTTTTTAAATTAAGGCTTCTGGCATATAATAGTAACACTAACAATAATATTAATTACACACCAATAATTCTGATAAAAGGTCTAATCATGAAATACATTCAGATGTTTATTGCATTTAATCTGATGGTGGACTATTTGTGTCATTTTTAAAGATACGCAATAATTCTGATAATGATGAGAATAAAATTACTTTTAAATCTAACATGGTTATGGCTTTCACCATGCTTGCAAATTCAAGCAGCCTCTGTCTGGCCAATATGCAACTCTAATAGATGTTTCTGTTTCAGTGTGCTCGATACTTCCTTACAATAGTCTGCTCCGTACTGGGTGGACCAGCCTGTGGCAAAACACTGCTGTCAACTAGCCCGGCTGAGAATATACATTTTTTACAGCACTGACATGAAACATTTTCACAGTTTACTGTAGAAAATAATATACAGAGTATTTGTAATGCAGCGTGATCTCTCTGGAAGTATTACCGTTCTTCCAGAGGTTCAGCTCAGCCTCCAGCCTTTGAATAGTCTCCTTCATTGACCGGTTCTTCTCCTTTTCCTTTTCATACTTCTTCTTCCACTGCTCTGCTGTGAGCTCCAGATTCACTGATACTGTATTTCTAATGGTCTTGGCTCTAATTGGAGAGATGCAGTGAGGAGCAGAAAGAGTGAGGATGACAGGAATAGAGGGAGATAGTGTGAAGTTAGGAGGATGACAGGAAAAGATAAAGACAAGAGAGTTAAGAGGGAAGTCTAAGGAAAAAGGAACTGTCAGACAGACATTTTAGTCCTGGCTGCTCATTGAAAATGGGCTTGCATCTCATTAATTGTTATGCAAATTGGGTTTCTGCCAACTGTGCGAGATGGTGCATGTAGGAAGAGTGATGTACTCAAGCCAAATTAATCAGACTGCTTTAAACACATTGACATCATACAAACCATTAAAGACTGAAGTATGTATGCAACTTTAGATTATTCCTCTATAATAATGTCAAACATCATGGAGCTTTATTATTCATGACAATACAACCACAACAGCCTCATTCTATTGAGAGATATAAAAATTCTTATTCAGTCCCACATTTCAGAGATAAAAAGCTTTATCTGAAGTTTTATTCATATAAGACTTAAGGAAATCTTATTTAAGCAGGGACACATTGGGTGGTAGAAAGTTCAACTTGAAAAAAAATAAAAGAATTTGACGCTTTAATAATAATTGGATCTGGCAGTGACTAACTAGGTCTAGACAAAGAAAAATGTTGAAAAGTAGCTTTTTTTTAAATTTACAAAATAGAATTTTTTTTGTGTGAAACAGAGTAAGCCTTTTTGACATTTAAATGTGAGCTATGTCACTGGCTTTGCAATATGATTCTCATTTTTTTAGCACATGACACGTCATACTGCGTCAGTGAAGAAGGAAAAGACAGGAGATGCATCCACAGGCCTTTGTGTGTACAATAGGTCTTGGGAGGAAGTGTTTTTTTTCCAGGAAAATACAGCCAATCTTGTCAAAAGAAGTACAAATAAAAATCTCTGCCCTCTAAACTATGTGAGCATAATCAAAAGCAAGAAAGAAATCACTCAGTGATATGTGCTATTTACCAAGCAGGTAAGTGACCAAGGAATGTGTATCTCTGTGCTACAAAGATGAATGTTACCGTTGGCCGAACATCAAGGTAGATTTGGTCTCTGTATCATTGTAGCTTGAAGGAGAGCAACAAATAAACATGGTGGTGCGACAGTTCCCTCCCAGAGAGTCCTGCAGGATGCGAGTCATTTTGCTGTCACGATATGGTACATGAGATTTCTACAAAGGGACAAAGGGAAGGAAGAAGAAAGGGAATTCAAGATTTAAAGAAAGGCATAATAAGACAGAGCCAAGGATTAAAAAGCTCAAAGAACCTGTGAATTGCTGGAGCACCACACTTTCCTTTGAAATATGTGCTGGTAGCATCAACAGAGAGCAAGGGAAGACAAGATTCCTCTTTTTCTTTTCAACCATTTACCATTTACCATTTTAACCTCTCGAATGAGGGTGTCCTTGCTCAGTGAATTACAAAGAATGCCAGTATGTTTCAAACACTGGTCAGGCATTTCTGGTCTGTCATTATTTCCCTTAAGTGTATGATGAGTGCCTTGAGTTCTCAGGGTTAAATTATAAGGGGAAATGTTTTCAATGTGAAGACGGCGTTTGAAAAGACCACAGTGTGGGTGAAACAGATCATGTCACCAGCTGTAGCAGCACATATACATATATCCGGATAAAGGGTGCAGAAAACCGTCTGACATGTCCTGTTAGATTTTATCCAGCGCAGCTGCGTGACGTGCCATCTGTTTTCACCACTCATGCTAAGATTTTTGCATATTTTGTCTTTGCATGGCATGGCATCTATGATCCATTTATAAAAAATAAAAGGTTATAGCTAGGTTAAATCAAATGTGGAAGCTTCCATATTTTTCTTGCATGGTCCATTTATGTGACAGAAAATTCGAGACCCAGTTAGTTTTTATCTCATGTTGTTAATCTTTATATTTAGCTGAAGAAAGAGATTACTTTTTCGAATTCCAAACGCTTGATTGTTATGTCTTCTGAATCTGTGTGTGACGCTTTGGATAAAAGTGTCATTTAAATGCAAAACGGTACCTGAAAATATGAAACTACTGTCTGCTAGTATCTCTTCAAAAGGCAAATTTATGCTTCAACAGGAGATAAAGGCCACGCTCACATGCTGTGAAGCCTACATAAGAGACTACATATAAATATATAAAACAGCTTTAGTGGACCACAGCATTACACTGCTCTGTGAATATTACTACTTGAAATGTTTACTTTTGTGTTCTGGTGTGTTAACTTTGTTGTTCCATGCTCTAAGACATATACACTTAACATCTCAGACCATTCTTGGTCATACATTACAAAATTATAAGATTGGGTTTGAAAAATATAAATGGTTCAAGTTTGCAGGTTTTACAGGTTGTACCCATGGATCAAAGTAACCATGGACTCACATACATAGACAATGCCCTTTACAGAACAACCCACAGACTGCATTTATATGTCAGTGTGAGAAAGCTACTGGATGCCACTAATTGTACAAGTAAGGGCAGAGCGATCAAATGATGAAAGGTGTAGTGCACTAGTACAGCACAAAAAGAGAGAAAATTGTAAATTGGGTGTTAGACTTGATCGGCAGAGCTTTTAGAATAAGAAATCGGCACTAGCTGTGAAATTACAGTATTATAAGAGAACTTGATTTGATAACAGCTCATTTCATATTATATTTTTGGTCCACAGGGGTATAGTGCTTGAGCAAATAACTATGCCATGTAATTACTCAGATGTGGACTAGACACAGTTGTTAAATTCTACCTCACCATAACCTTTGGCTACATTTCTGGGGAAGTTATGGTGGTGTGCATCCCTCTGACACTGAAGAGTAAATCCAGCTTTAGTCTCTGCAGGAAAGCTAATAAGCCCATTCCTTGGAAATAAGTATACTGTAGGTTTATCCACTGTTTGTTGTACAGATTTGTTGTACTGTTTGGTTAATTTGGTAATTAACCAATTAGTGCATAATAAAGAGCTATCCTGTGAAAAGCAAACAACTAAGATAGTCTTAGACGGCTGCCAACAGATTATAAGGAGCAACTTTCCACCATACCGTTCCTTCAGCCAAAGCTGAGATGACGTTCCCCAGGGCCGACAGAGACTTGTTGATGTTCTTGGCCTCATCCAGCACTGCTCCCTCTGCACCCGTCTTACTGACCTGACACAGATACATGCACAGATATACACTGGAATTAGCTCAGAAAGTACACCATCCAGGAGTGATTTTGATTCTGATTTTCATTTTAAGTCTCACGCAAAGGTATACATAAATAGAATATCATCACTGGCAGAACAGCTTGAAAGAGATTTTGAGAAAAACAATAACAAGAAGACAATTATCATGCTCTCTTTGGCTAACTAGCTCAATTTGTGCTTGAAAACTACTTGAGTACCCACTGAAAAGTCTTTCACTTTACCTACTTGATGTAGTTTTGATATCACAATAATTGAATTTCTTTGTAAGGCTTTGTGGCAGATGTATTTGGTCGATAAATATCCCTCAAGACCCTTCCTTTAAGCAGTTCCACAAAGCAGAACGAAAATATGATGCTTCTGTCAGCCAGTATCCAAGCTGTCAGAGCAAACTTATGAAGGAACTGAGAGAAGCTGAGGATATTGATTCACATAAATCTATTTTGTTTGACTTTTCTGTCCGGTTTCAGAACTTGATTCTTTCAATAGTTAAATATTTGATCCTTTGTTTTATTAGTCTTAGATTAAAGTTTTGAGTACTGCAGATGACATGAGTTTAGAGTATATGTTTTCTTCATCAGTAATTTCTGTTTTTGGCTATAAACCACTCATTTGTGAAATGTTTTCCATGATTTGGAATATGTTGAACTAATATTCTTTAATATCATTGTCAATGTTGTTATAATTGAAATGTATTCATAATGTTTAAATATGCTACATTTTGTCTGTAGCTTAAAGGTGTCATATACAACGTTTGACCACTTCATAGATTAATTGATCACAAGTCACAAAACCATGTTTATGGTCCTGGTAGTATAAACCCTTATTGATGCTGGGAAATCAATATGTAGCTGTACTTTCATAAATCAGTTTCCAAATGTCTACACCAATAGTCATTATGCGATTCTTACTAGCAGCTGTGCATTTCTACACAGCAGATCAGCTCAACAAGCAAATAATGAGCTGTATACACATCAGTAGGCTATATATGGAAAATGTCTTCACAGTATTGTACAAATGACAAAACAATAAATAATTTACGGGATAAAACTGAGAGAACATTTAGGATTGCTTTCTATAGCATTAACCTTTGACCTTTACGGTGGCGTATATCTTTTTCAATGGATTAGGTTTTTACAAGAAAAGCATGGTGTGAATTGTTGTAATTGTCATGGGGCACAATTATTTTCTATAACATAACAGGTAGCCTAAAAGCAGACGGGAGCACGTTTGTCCCATCAAAGCCCTCTGTGAAGCTTGTTCAGCTCAGATAATATTTTGTCCAAACGCCTAAAAGCTACTGGAGATTAACCTACTTTTTAGTGTTCCCTAGAGATGACCATGAGAACTTAGAAATGCTAAATCAGCACTTATTAACAAACAAATCACACTCGTCAGCATATGTCCAGTCTATATAACCCCCTGCTGCTCTTAGCACACACTTCAATGTTTTTTTTGCATTACGGCTAATCAACT